GTATACTTTCGTCGGTAAACCCATTCTAGAACACACAAATTTTATTTCCATCACTCAACAAAACTTCTTCCTCTTCTACTACCTTGTCTGTGCTTGAACTAGAGTGTTGATAACCGTACTTTTTCCACCACCTGTCGGTCCGACAACCATAGTCGAATGACGTGTCATCATTGTTTCGTATAACTGTACAACTTTATCAACTTGTACTTCATCGACAACGTTGTGCATATGAGCAATTGATTCTCGTACGGCTTTGTCGAATGATGGATAAGTGACACGATCGCATTTCAAGCCAGGGAATAGATCGGTGATTAAACCTTGAAATAGTGGTACGTCTTCGTAGACAAACTTCGGCATGTTCATATCACGTAAGGCACGCATTAAGACAATGTCCTATGATTGTGTGAAAACGAAAAAAATTAATAAGATCAATTCCGTAAGAGATCAACGGTTTACTTCTGGTAACTCGGCTGAATTTCGTTTCAATTCACCGGCCATGACCAAAACTGATTTCAAGGCACGAAGACCAAAATCATAATGGTATTGTTTCGATAATTGTTCACGAGATAGTTTATATAGGACGACCATTTTCTTTGCCAACATCTACATAGAAGAATGTTTAAACTTTACCAAATCTTTTCGTCATCAACAAACTTTGGCTAATGAAAATCCTTCGGAGAAAAGCATAATTTCACAGATTTGCTGTAGATCTGGTACGATGACGACGACTGGTCGAAACAGAGCTTTGATAGATTCAGGTAATTCTGTTCGGCCAGCATAGCCAGGATTCATTGTAATGAATGCTCCAACACGTGAGTCAAGATCAATTTCAACTCCTTCAAAAACAAAACGTTTTGCTTTGGTAATTAAACCTTGTTGGATGGTTTTCAATTGCGATGAAATGACTGATAAGACTGATGCATCAATTCGATTGAATTCATCAAAACAACCCCAAGCACCACTTTGACATAGACCATTCAAGTTTTTACCAATAGCCTTTGAATAAAACAGATTATTTTCACTTTCCTGAACGATTTGTATACTTACCAAACTGTCCATACCTTCACCACAATTCGTTACCACGCAGAGAATACCAAGTGCTTTAGCTAAATCCTTTACGGATTCAGTTTTACCCGTACCTACAAGTCAAATTCGAATAAAGATACAAAACCTTTCCCCAATAAAACAGAGTCATACCGGCAGGACCAGCTAAAATAAACAAAAAAACAAATAGTTAAATCTTATCTGTTATTAATAGTTTAACAATGAACTACTAACCTGGTGCACATCCAAGGTACATTGACAGAGCCTATTAAAATAAAAAAATGAATCGATCTGAAAGAAAATCCGAATTATCATCTTACTTGTGTAATTGTCAAATAAATTCGATCAGTAAGTGGTGTAATGACTAGACGACCATTTAAACCCATATATTCATAACCATAACCAAATTCTCCGGTACATTGTCGAATCATTAGTTCATCAGGTTCATTAACCCAATAAAATCTCAACTGACTTTCCCATTCGAATTCACGTGCATCCAAAATACTAAACACAACATCTTCTTTCTTTTCTGAACGTTGATTTTCCTTACCTGTCTCGAACGAAAGCATCGATAATATCTTTCGCGTGAACATCGATAATGAGGACAGTGTTAAATTTCTTCCGATCATTACTAGCTAAAGGATTTCGAATCTAAATTGAAAACAATTATTGAGTGACATTGAATATGACAAAAAAACACGCGTCTTTCGTACTTCAGCAACGACTTCCTCAATCTGTGCGTTCAATTGTTTAGCATAGTTCTTCATTGCCATCTTTTGTCCTTTGGCAACTAAGTGCATTCAATAAAATATGAGACCAATCAATATAAATCAACTAAACTGAACCTACCTTTGTTGAATGTGTCTTCAACTTCCCAACTCCACCTAATAAGAATGAAAAAAAAACGTCTATAACTTTAAATTGATTTCAGTTTTTTTTAACAAACCAGATTTGATTAGCAGCGAGCACGACCATTCCTTGGTAGTTATACATCCAGCTTGTTCGTGTTTTTCGAAAACGATAATAATAGACGGCTTCTTTCGTAATCAATCGATTTGTTCGTCTCATTTCTTCTAAAACTTTCGTCATCCAATCTTCGACTCGTCCTTCGGTGACAACGTTCTGTTTAAACTGCATCTCTTCTTTCTCTGCGGAGATCATCGCTTGAGCTTGAGTGAGTGTGTCACTGACTTTAATCAGCCGGAGACTGGCGATGTTGTCGAACATTTTAATCATATGTTCTTGAATAGCTGATGGTTCAGCTGAACCCAAAATGGAGAGAAGTTCGTCGTCGGAAATGAAGAAAAATCGTGGAAAAGCATTTCGTTTCGAATCGAGATAATCGTTTAAGCTCTTTTGACAACGTTCAAGACCGACAAAGATTGATTCTAGATCAGGTAAACGACTGGGCACATGGCATTGTTTTTTAATTAACGGATCGCGATATGTGTCAGCCATGATTGATTTGAATAGTTTATTTTTTTCATCAAACTTCTTCGCTTCCTCAGGCAATTGCGAACGAATATCTCCACTAACGAATATACCTAAAACAACGAAGTTTCTACAAGGAAAACTCATCTTATGTTCGAAATTACCTTCGAGATATGTCCATTTACGCTGTACGTTGATCCATAATTCGATAACCTAGAAACAAACGTGAACAATTCATTCAAACTCACATTTATCTTACTTCAGCAATATGTGATAAACTCTTCTCCCATTCTTGTACAGTTTTTAAGAATGGTCCGATGTATCTTGAGCCAGCCATACCTTGCAAAGCCATAGTATGATCATCTAATTGTTGAAGAACTTCGTCACAAGCTCCCAATACATAACCACGATCTTGGTTGCCTTTCACATACTTAACAACGTTGAATTTCACTTTCTCCCATGCATCGACAACTTCCCGTACACCCTAGATATAAATATAAGTATGCTATTATCGTTCTTATCGAAAATCTTTGCTTTTTCTACCTTCTCAATTTGAAGTTCTTTCGTAGCAGACGTGACGATATTCTGAATGACATCGTTGAAACGTTGTAAGTTCATTTGGAAGAGATTTTCTAATGTAAACGATTCTGGGTTCATATCGAATTCGATACTTGTTTCTTTCATCAGTGTGCGCCAATGACGTTCACGTAGAGCTTCATTTTTCAAGTCTAACATCAATGGTAATGATTCGCGGAATTCTTTCATTCCGGTTTCGATTAGTTTCGCTAATGGCATGCCTTTCACTTCACGTGGCATTTTCTTCAGTTCTTTGATGAAATTTTCAATTCCGTCTACCAGTAATTGCACGTCCAAATCACGCCATAATGTTTCCGACCATACTTGTCGAGCTTTGATTTGTGATTCGTACAATTGATAGAGTTTTTCTAAGTTTTTCATTTCTTTTTGAACAACATACAATTCCGGATAGGATGAAATCGGTAAATTGAAGAGTTTCTCAGCATTGGTTAATTCTTGTTTTTCGGCTTCGATCTTCGTTAGTTCATCACGATAGATTTTCATTAATTTTAAACCTTGTGATAACTCATCGGCAGTTTTAATTGAACCAGGACCAAACTTAGCGAATTTTTCTGCAAAAGCGATGATTGATTTGCGTAGACGATCAAGTTGAATAAGAGTAATTTCGGTGAAACGACTTTTCACACGTTTGAGATTAACATCACGATGTTTCGAATTGAGAAAGATTTCATCCCATCGACGTTTCAGCGACTGAAGAATCGCTCTTTCTTCGTCCGTGACCTTCAAACATAAGTATTAAAATCGAACAGAAAATCATTCGTCTCATTTACTTTGTAATGATAAGATTCAAGTAAATTATATTTGTCTTTTACATTATTGGCTTTTGCTTCGATCAAATCGGATTGACTTTGGATTTCTGCAATAGTTCGCAAGACGAACTTCAAATCTTCTAACGTATCTGTCGATAATTTGAGATTCTTTTCGTATTCCTATGAAAGAAAATAAAACATCATAGAAACGCTTGAGAATGAATATTTCGAGCGAATCTTACATCAAGTTTATCACGCAGTTCAAATAATCTCGCTCGAGCTTCATCAGCAAGAAACCGATTAAACATATTGATCGTCTCTCGCGCATGAGTAGTTAAATCATTTAAGAACGAATGCAAATTCAATTGCATGAAATCGAAATCTTTCAAACGGTTCATTGCTGTCAACTAAAACAGATGAACAATTTCCAAATCTTCGTACTGATAAACAATAGGAAACCCACTTCATCCAGATTCTTTTGATATTTTGTTACTTCTTCGTCAAATGCACCTAACGATGGATGTTTTGCAAAGAATTTCTCGACAGCCGCCAACTAGAACAGCGAAACGTGTACTGAATAACTTCCAACTCAAATTCAATGTTTACTTTATCTGATCGCCATAGATGTTTGAAATCACGAAATTTTAATAGAAATTTCTTCATGTTAGCAATGGTATTTTGTACAACGTTTTGTGCTGATGCGGCAATTTCGTGTATATCAGGAATGAATTTAACATCATCATAGAATGTATAGATATGTTCAGCTTCCTGAGTTGATGATGATGATGCTGTCGTTGCTGAATGTTTTGGATTCGTCGGGATAATCGCTGACGAAGTCTCGAAATCGTTTCCTCCTTGTCCACCTGCTGTCGTCATAGCACTTTGTGATTTGTCGTATTTGATAGGTGTGACCTCGACACATGATCCATCCTTCCATCGATAGAAATAACTGGTACTATAAATAGAGAAAGATCAAAAACAACAGTAGAGCTTTTTGTTTTAATGTTAGCTTAAAAATCCTCGAAATAACAATAGCAAATGTTAATATCTCTGATGGAAAGCTGAATTAGGAATGCATGATTTTTCTGTACACTAGAAATCTTATCAGACTAAAACAATATATCAACGACGAAAACTTTTCACCAAAAACAATCGCGCATGAAGAAGAGAAAAACAAAGTTATTTCGATGTTAATTCTTTCGCACAAACAGTTTCATGAGCAACAGCGTCGCGCATTTGCAATGCTCTCTGACGTAAACTAGTCAAATGTTGTTGTTGATTATCGATCAGGTGGATTAATTGTTTGGTATATTTTTCTCGATCGTAGTTCATATGTGTCGAAGAATCGAAGACAGTTTGATGGCCAGCGAGTAATTGTGGTAATTCATCGAGAAATCCATGATGCGATTCTAATGTTAAGTCTTCTAGTTCGTGCGAGCGAGCTATGGCTTGTTCGAATTTATGTCTCGATTGATTTGTTTTGGATAGTTGCGATCTACTCGAATAATTCAGTTGAGGTTTCGATATGGTTGTACGCGATGGCGGAATCACTTGTGTGCTTGATTCGTTCAACAGTTCATCATCATCGTAATAGTCATCTTCATCCGGTGACGGAGAATCATCATGTAGAACTGGATTGGATTTTTGATGAAGTTCGATCCCACGTTGTTTCAATTCGTCAACGTTCAATTCTTTGACACGATCAGCATACCGCAATGTATTTAACGTATGGTCAACATCGCTACTGCCAGGAGAGATCATGGCAATCATACAGATCTTACATTTCTCACCAATAAATGAATCACGAAGAACTTTAGTGAGAGTTGAACCACGGAATGGAATATGTTCAGCGTTACGACCTAGCGCGCGTATACATTCTTTTAATGTTAACAGCGATTTATTGATTTGCGCACCTTCCATCAGTGTTGTTTTATCATTGGTTTGCGTATCTCGGCCACGTTCGCTGCCAGCTAGATCGATTAACGAAATTTTGCTGTATTCTTTGTTGGTACTTTGTTTTTTTAAGATGATTTGAAAAACAGCATGCGAACGAGATGAATGTTCATTGGCTGACGTTGTACCAGATGTTCGTACACTCATTCCACGACGTATCAACGACATTACGTCAGTAACACTTTCCACTCGTTCTTCTTTTTTGCCCACGACTTGAACTAAATTCTTGTGATCTTCTAGTACACGTAAGCGTTTCTTCTCATTAAATAAATCGAAGACTTTAGTACAATAAATTTCAAAAAATGTACAATAAATATCGAATTGATCTCGATTTTGAGACTTATGCAGCTGACGAAAGATATCATTGGCTGTGAGCGCATAGATTCCTTTGGAAAAGTCTATATCGCGTTGACTTAAATCACCACCCATAGTATATGTTTTACCTGAAAGATAAACAAACAGTTCAATCTTCAATGACTGATTTGTTTCACAAACTTCGACCTACCAGATCCCGTCTGTCCGTACGCGAACACTAATGGATTACATCCTTGAAATAATGAACGTACCAACGGTTGCGCCGTGAAATAATAAACAAGTTCATTAGTACACGATTCATTCATGGCATAATCAAAACGAAATGTATTGTTATCGATGTATTTGGTTAAATCAAGTTTCACTTTTGGTAAATGTACAACAACATGATCTTTATTTGGAACTGTTAACACATCAATGTCTTTTTTGTTTAATTCCTTTTTTGTGATTGGCCTTTTCCGCACACAAACGGTAATTCTTAGATCTTTCTGTTGGTCATTCAGTGTCAGGTGTTTCATACCGAGCTGCTGCCGATATTCGTTGATCATCGCTTGAAACTCCCATGCTGGAATTGTATGGTCGACTTCGGATAGTCTCTGTCGACGTACTTCTTGCTTCGCTCGGCGTTGTTCACGATTTGCAGCGATACGTTCGATTTCTTTGACAACTTTTGATCTATTCGGATCAACAACAGCATTCTGTTGCCTTTGTGGTGATTGGTCATTCATATTTGAGCTTTTGTCCAGTCGAGACTGTCGCGGTAGTTTTTCAGAATCTCGTTTCGTATGACGATTTGATTGTGCAGGATTATTTTCAGTGGAGTGGTAATCATTATGGTCAGTATCGAGATTTCGACTGATAGCACCAGTACGTGAAGGCGAATGTGCGATTGATTGAAAGAGATTGGGATTAAGTTTCACAATGGCATCCAGGTCGACTTCTTTGCCTTTACCTTCATTCTTTTCTTGCCATTCGACAGTTATCGTTCGTATCGAATGATTTACCTTGGTTATGACAGCTTGATGTATACGTCCATTGGATCGTTGAATGTCAACGACTTGACCAGAATGAAGACATGAAAGATATTGTTGCGAATTGAGACTCATTTGTTTCGTAATAGAAAAGCGAAATTCATTCGACGTAAATGAAAATTAATCGATGTTTTTTGTCATGGACGAACGAGAGAAGAAAAGTTTTTTATTTTTCTTCACTATGACTTCAAAACTTTACCATTCTTCTCGATTCTTATAGCTCCTTCTGCTCTTAATCGATGTCGTTAAAATGCGAACGCAACGAAGCAACAAACTCACATATAGATGTGATGAAAGCGTTTGTTCATATTTTTCTAAGAGGAGGCGTTGCTTAGAGATTTTGTGTAACGTCAAAAACAAGTCGACAAAGAAACGACAAAGAGAAAGAAAGAACAGACGAGAATAATTATAAGTAGTAGTAGTAGAAGAAGAAGAAGAACAAGTAGAAGGAATAGAGAGAAATAAAATAAAATAAACAACATCAATCGATGTATGTCTGTTGAAGTGTAGTGTATAATATGCTTTCAAATCTGATTATTCACTAGACGTGTTTCCTCACTCATGATGAAATAAACTTTCGACTTACACATCAACACAATCGCGCATTGTCTGCCGAAACAATTTGATGATCTCATTTTGATTTGGTTGCATAGCTACAGTTGGTACAACAAGTAAAGCGTCAACTTGGAACAAAGGTTTCGTTCCGTGTTCCAAAGTTTCACGTAACGTTTTCAGATTCTCAGTGACGAGCTAATGAAGAGAAAACATGCGTTAATGAGAGACCTTTTTCTGACAAAAGAAAACAATCATTTACTTGAGTTAATGCGGCAAGTATTTGTCTTTCCCAATAGGCATAATAAGCAACCATTTTTGGTGATTGAGATGTGTTCGTATTGAATACGAGTCCTTCGACTTTTGTAATTAATGGGCCAATCAGTTTGTACTTTTTCTGTAATTCAAGTGCATCCCGTCGGCGATGAAATTCGACGAATTCGAAATATTCCTAATTTTTTTTTCAAAAGAAAATTTCGTTTCAATGTCGAACAGATTCGACTTACTCGACACTGGATCAGTGAACCATCGGGATTGAGTGGAGGCTCTCGGAAAAGATTGCAATGACGAATTTCATCGAGAAAAATTTGAACGTCTTGAGCGTTCTTCTTCACTTGATTGATTGTTGAGTCGAGTTTTGAGATCATCTTTGAATAACGAGAATTCGGATGTGTTTCTTTGGATCAAATCACTTACCTCGGATGTTACAGTGATGAATTTTTCGTGATTAGTCGATGTCCATGGTAATCGTTGAGTTCCTGTTTGCATATTTCGTTTCAATAATCGTAGATGATCTTCGAGGAGCGATTGTTCATGTGGTTCGAGTGAGTCGATGACACGATTATAATGTTTAAGAACGATTTTCAATTGAGTTGAAATTTGTTTTAATCGCTCTTCCTATGAATAGAATCGATTTCGATTGACATTTTGTTAGAATATTTCAGGTCGTGATGACCGAGACTCGTTTTCAAGGAAAAAACTTAACTATCATAATGGATTTCCGAAGAAAAACATCAATTATGTCTAGAGAGAATGCTCTGCGGAAGCTGGGGGTATTCTACAGGTCGAAAAAAGCCAAGAATAATTCTTTTTGTTTGCACTTACGTTCAACGCCAAATGTCGGATAGTTTCTGGTAAAACATAATCAAATTGTTCTAAGTATCTTGCTTCTGTTGTCATTTCATTCAATTGTGGATCGTAATCGATTATGTATCGAGGTGTATATGGATTTTGATCTGAGAAAATGCTCGATATGATAACAAATCAATTTTGTTTTGTTGTAAGATGAACATACTTTCTGCAAGTGGCAGTTCTTTGAGAATATTCCGTTTTTGTAATGTTGGAAGAATCTGTTCGGTGCGTGCTCTCCATTCAGTGAACTTTGCATCTTCAAATGCTTTCATTTCTTTTGCTACTCGAAGATAATAACTTTTTATCTATAATTTATCGAAAACAATTCAATTGATCTGATAGGAAACGCTTATTTTTTTTTGGTATTTACTTGTTTGCCAAATTCTGTTTGCATTAACGTTTCTTTCGTATGTAAACGTAACATTGTGTGTTTGATACGTCGAAATAATGACCGACTCCACGCAATAGCACCAGAATACGGAGGTTGATTTTTATTCATTGGAGGGTTATTTTTATTATGTTGGAAGATATTATTGATCTCTGTGATCTACATTGCAAGAAGAGATGTTTAGGAAGAATTCATTTTAGAATTGAATTTTTACTTCATTATCGTATTGTCGGAGAATATCGTTGAAACGTTTGTTCATTTCGTCTTGCATTGTTAATCGAGTATTGTTTTTCTCGAATTTCAGCAACATCTCGAAAGCGCTTTCTGCCGAGCTGAAAAGAGCGAAAGATAGATGAGAATGAGTCATGTAGATGAAAGTACCGGAGGTTTTTGAATGAATCGGAGGTGAAAGCTTTGGTTTGTTCATCGATTTCTTCGATCTGTTGAGCGTAGTTGGCATGAACCATTTTCCATTTTTCGAGATCTTCGATGCGAAATGGATCGCAGGGAGCCTTGAAAAGAAATAAAATTATTTCTAGAGAAAAATCCTGTACGACGAGTTGAATGCGTTACATGTTCGATCAATTCCAAGACTTTATGTACACGATCGAGAATTTCATTGATTTTCTGTGGTTTTCCTGTGACAGATTTTAATTCTGGTGTAAAGATGTTATAAAATTCTTCGAGTTCTTTGGCAATAGCAATAAAATCATTGCAGATATGTGACATATGATCAGTCGCTTTGAACAATCGTTTATGATCGAATTCCCATCGAGAATCACGTCCCGACTGTTCAATTTCGGCTCGGACATCTGAATAACACTACAAACGAAACCAATGATTTGTTTTCAAACGAATTCATTCCAAGAAATTCCTTACTTGTTTCCATTGATCCAGCATTTCTTTTGCTTCTTTGCATTTCTCGATAATCTCGCTTGGTTGATAGCTAAATTCAAACATCGCGAAATTATCTACAAATCTTTCGGATATTTCTACCTGAACAATGTTCGAACATTGATTGAACGTGCCACACGTTCACATAACTGATGGGCGATACGTTCCATCAACGGTATCATTCGTTCATCGCGATTATAATGTCGCGAGATTATCCAAACCATACGTAAGGCACTCATCATTTTCGGTATAGTTTCAGTAACAACACGAAACGTGGCACCGTGAGTAACATTTTTGAAATGACGTTCAAGTGTCGAAAGAAATCTATGAAATCAAACAAGTTCCATTGAATTCAAATCGAAATGAAAACATTCGTACTTGACGTTGTCTTTAGCTTCAAAATAGTATTTGGCTAAATCGGTACGAGTATCACGAAATGATGAAGGCGCAGCGTTTTCTGCTGTATCAAGTTTTTCTAACACTTTTTCTACATGTTCTTGTTTAGTTTGTTCGTATAAACTACTGAGAGAAATGTTCCGCTCACGCCACCAATCGATTTCACCGAGTGGACCAGGCGTTTGTGGTGTCTAAACATGGAACAGAAATGTTTAACCTCATTTTCATCGGATGTTTTTACTTACTTTCTTCAGTTCACGTTCAAGTGCTTCACGAATTTCACCATTCCATTTATATACAAGATTTTCGGCTTGTTCAACCATATCTTTATTTGATTTGACGATTTTATTAGTATCGAAGTGTGGCGGAAGTTCGAGACGTACTTCGCCTTTAACGAAATATTTATACTTATTCCTTGGAAAACTTATCTTGAGAATTTACCTTCAAGTTGACGAAGTGTTAAGCCGATTTGATTGAGAAACTTTTGTAATTGTATTAGAAATTCATCACGTAATATTGTTCGCGCTTCCAGTTCACGTTTACGTCGCTAAATGACAAACAATAGAGAACATGTTCAGTAAGAACGCTCGTTTAACAAACCTGTTCAGCTCGCATCTGTTTTTCATGTTCTTCCGTTTGTTTTTCCGCCGATGGTTTACTTTTCTGTTGTGGCTCTTGTTCATCCACAGGTTCTTCCTCATCGACCGGTTCTGGTTCTTCACTTTGATACGTTAGAATTGGATTGTAAACCTAGAAAACGTAACCGCAAGCATGATTATTCACAGCCGAACAGAATCTTATGTCTAACACTCCTTATTCACCAAAATGTCTACCTCTACTGCAGTAACTCGAGCCATACGTGTGCTAGTACTTACTTTATTCAGTATATTAGCCAGTAAATAGAGTGTATGTCCATTGAGTAGACCATAATCAAGATATTTAACCATAATTTTATCAGCATCTTCGGTTGACGATGGTGCAGGAATTGTTCCTGGTGTGGTGCGTAGGAAATAGATGCAACTCTTTTGACTTAAATTCGATGGGTAACTATCGCGGCATAGATAAAGTATCGTTCGAAGGTATTTGACAAGTTCATTTCGCTAGAAAGAAGCAGTATAAACGTGAATGTTTTTACATGCATTGAACAGCAAAGAGATCTAATGGACTTACGTATCGTTTTGGTTTTGGTGGCAGTTCATCCATGTTTTCACCTTCGCCATTGGTTCCATCCCCTGTTTGGTCAACTTTTTCTGTTGTGCCATTTTGTCCTGCTGGATGATTTGATGAAGCATCATTTTGTTGATCATCTGTGCCATTATTCATACCAGCTTCGGCATTTGGATCAAAATCTGGATTGAGTGCTAACTGTTCTTCAATCCATTCTTCTTCAGCTAGAAAATAGAGCATAGAAGTGTTTTAATTGATACTCGGACAATTTGTTCGATCTTTACTTATTTCGACTTGTTCTTCGCGCAGTTCTTCGAAAACTTCTTTGTGAAAAATCAAAGCATTTTCGTCATCGACATTGGATTTTGCTTCATTAAGAAATTTTGCGATTAGTAGTTCGTTACCACCATCATCACCTTCCAGGAAATCTTCAAAAGATGGATCGCCCTTATCGATATCCAATATTGTGTAAATCGCATCTTTCAACCAACGAAAACGTAAATCGTCCATTGGCTTTGTTTCGAGAAAAAAACTTTTAATGAATATACAATAAAATAAACAGAAACTCAATGTTTTAAGTGCGAATTCGCCATTAATATACGACGTTTCTACGTAACAGACGCTCTAATGGAATTTGTCGCTAGTAGTCATTTTTTTATCGATATATACACACCGTAAATTCACGTTTCTGATTTTTATATATGAGAAGAACATGGATTCGTATTGAACATTACGAAATTCTTCCTCAATGACACTGATTGCGATGATAATCGCTTGACAACTTTCCGTACTTCTTCTCGCAACAAAAAACTTTTGAAATCGATCGATTGAAACATTCACATTCAAAATCTTTGAAGAATTCCGCTTTCGGCTGGCCAACAACATAAATCATTCGAAAATTTCTTCAAGAATCATATAGAACAATCTGTTAGAATACTAGAGCATTTAATAGTCTCTTTACAACAGATTTGAGAAATAATAAAAGTTTATTGTTCTCATAAATGAAAAGAAAACTAGATGATCTCTCTGAGATGCTGTCATAAACATGAGAAAACCGTTGCTAAGTATTGACTTGTGCATTGTTATAAATAGTCCGTACTCGTTCGTATTTGTATCTTCATTTTCTATCGTAAAATGTGGTACTCATCGCTAATCGTTTTCAGTTTACTGATCCTAGCAATCGTCTATCATGCAAACGGTCTTCAGTGTTACAAGTGTAGTTGTACCGCTGCTTCCAATGGAACAGGGTGTCAAAATGACGATGATTTACAATGCGTAGTAGAATATGTGGAGAACAATTACTGTATAATCAATCGAACTTCATCACATAATATTACATTCGGTCATAGAACCGATGCTGACTTGGTGTTTTTGGAAAATCTGCACTATTTAAGAGCAAAAGAACAAATTAGTTACGTAGAGAGCAGTTCTACTTGGCAAGCGCCTGTTGTCATTGAATTTACGTACGGTTGTGATTGGAGTCTCTGCAATTCACCACGAATACTCGGTTATCTTCCTAAGGGATTAACCTTTTCAGTAGATTCCAATGTTTTAACTGCAACATTGATCCCTGCAGCCAATGAATCGTTGACAAATTGTTTGAATTGTACGAGATGTGTGAATTCAACAGGAGCAGTCGCTTGTGCAACACCAACGTGTAGCGGTACGTGTTTCATTGACGATCTTTTAGATAATCCAACAGTCAATAATGCGTCATGTCTGTTCGCGTTCCAAAGTGTCTGTCTACCTGAAAAACGTACTGTAGCTGTTGAAATAACAGGAACGTATTATATCGATAACGATGATTTTCAATTGACTGAAATCGATATGTGGTGCCGAAGCACGGATTGTAACGATCCAACTCATATTCAAACTATTCAAAAGGAAGTAACTTATTTAACACAATTTAACGACCAAATCTATTTTCGTCCAGGGACAACAACCGCCAAACCAACTGATGGTCTACGTGCTTGTTATAAATGTCATTGTGAACACGAAATTGGTAATGATACATGCAAAGTTTTGGAATGTACGATTGAATATAAAAATAATAGTTATTGTGAAATAGTACGCGATTTCAAAAGTTCTGAAGGAATGGAGCTTATTATGCTTGGTCATGTTGATCGGGCTTATGTGCCATATAAACATTTCATTCACGCTGAAGAAGAACAGATACTGTATACGAATTTAACATGGCATCCACCTTCAATTAAACTGATCAGTTATATTTGTGATTGGGACTTATGTAACGATGGTCGACTTGTCGAAAAACTGATGACAAGCTTTCGATTTGATGCCGAACCATCGGAAATTGCTGCATATCTACAGAGCTCGGAAACACTCACGAGTTGTATGCAATGCGAAGTATGCACTAACTCAACTTTAGATTCCTATATGTGTCCAAATAGTACATGTTCATCAACTGGACGTTGTCTTATCGTTCAATACATTGATCATACTGATTATCAAAACTGTGAATATGCATTCTATGGTGAATGTGAAAATTTCGCCACGGAATCAAGTATAATCATAACGGCTACTTACAACATCGATGATGACATTTTAAATTTCGAAGAAGTCGATGTTTATTGTTCAAAGAATGGTTGCAACCGACCTGAAACAGTTTACAGCTTAATAGAACTCATCGATGAAAATATTCAACTTGATTCGCTATTCTTTTTTCGACCAGTTTCGAACACAACAACACCACCGATTATCACTGAACCAACACCAAGTATAACTACGACTCGCACAACAACAACTTCAACGATGAGTACAACAAGCACGCCCTCATCTGTCCCTACAATGACTATGTCGAGTTTTATGATCATGTGTGCTTTTGTATTATGTTTTTTTAGCGATTAGAAACGATTTTATCCGATTAAATAAAACATTCATGAGAAATAATATCTTAAATCTATTACAAATGATGCCTTTCCGAGAGAAAGACATTAGTCGGTAGTGTACGGATCGAAAAATCTTCTTTTGCACAGCGTTACAAGATATAAAATCATAAAATGAATGTGGATACGATCGTCAAGACATCACTATTGATTGAAGATAAAATCTCACGATGAGATATTCTTAACCAAAACAAAATCTTCGAGTCTAGTAGCGTAGAATGTCTTTCTAATCAATTTATCTAACAAAAATCCAATTACGAGCAAATTTCGAGAAAACAACATCAGAATTTAATGTTAATCAATCCTGCATATAGTTTTCATTATGAATATCGTTTGCCATCTATTGACAATAATTACTAAACAACGCTATGTTAATTTTTCTCGCTGAAATCAAACACGATTCTTCTCATTTTGGAAAATGATGAAGTATGTACTTGGTTTTCTTATCAAATAGTTATGTCTGGTCGGAAACGAAGAAGAATCTCATTGGGAAATCGATATTGACTAGATCATTTCTTTTCCAAATCAAAATTCGTGGTTTATTAGCTAACAACGGATGCATATATGAATAATAGATGACATGTTTAATGATTATGAATACTTCTCGACATGTTCTTCTCATTCTTTCACTCTGTTCGCTTTTTTGCGTATTCTAAGCATTGAATTCTAATGTAAAATATTCTTTTTCTTATTGATTAATCCAAACAAGTCCTTTTTTCCTTTTCAAAACATAGATGGATATGTAACATTAACATATTAGATATTAGAATGTCGTTTTCCATTAGATTCCTTGGAGAATTGATTTGTATTAGTGACTAGGACGTAAGAAACCAAACTAATCTTTATTATTAGAAAAAACGTCATTCCTAGGTCGATTCTCGAGTGAATCGATCAGTATACAGATGTGTTTAATTGAATCAATCTATAGATAGAGAGAAGAAAGCGGAACGGTTGTTCGACTTTCATTAGTTAGCAGTGAACAAATTGAATTTCTGACATCTCTTTACTATTCTGCATCCGAAATGCCGCTCATTTATTCTCGATTCTTCTTCTTCTCTCTAACTGGTTCCTTCTTCAACGTTGGATTTGTTTGTTTGATTGAATTTGTGATTGAGATTTCTTTAACAGTCATTACATCAACGACATACATTTGTTTATTCCCACCCAATGCGCTAAAGAAACAACGAACAAAGAACATTCCGATTAATTTAGTTTTTCTCTTTGGGTCACGAATCCAGTTCACAAGTGTACCGAAAGAAAAACTTTTCTTTGATTCATCAGAGAATTTTCCTCTCTCACCACTCGGATGCTCGTACTCAATAATAATGAGAAAAAAATGACGATAAATATCGGCAATGGCTGAGTGTACACATAGACAAAGAAGTAAACTATTGTTATCTTCACCATTTTTACACGTCAACAGAAACTAAAATTCATTATTCAATGTATTAGTTTATGACACACACGAATGGTGCATGTCTAAAACACGTAACGAATGAGCATGACGAAGAGGGAATACACAATAGTAATATATAAGAAGAAAAAAGAAGCAGAGAGAGAGAGAGAGAGAGAATCAAATCAATGATGTGGATTTGCATTCTTCTCGCACTAATAGTTCAACTCATTGCTTATCATTGAACGAAGCAAGAGAAAAAAAATGATGAAGAATAGTATTATCGACTCTAGATTTCTTTTTTCTTTTTCCTTTACTGAATAATTGAACGCATGCACATGCGCTTATTTCTCGAGCGACGTCAGAGTAATAGTCATCGTAGGTTTGTATTGCATACAAGTGAAATTAGACTAGAGAAGAAGAGAAACAGCAGGGAACGAGAGACGTGGGAGATAGAACGAGGGCTCTTGCATATATATATATATTTTTCTCTCTCTTCATCTATATATGTAGATCCAGAAGCCCACAAGAAAGAGAAAAGAATGTTTGGAATGATGAGTAATTACTATTGATCGTTTGTCGATATATATAACAATGGGTTGTACAAGTTCACATCAAACCGAATCAACGAAAGGCGTGACAGGTTTACCACCTGCAACGATTGCTGATGATGGCCATCAGCTAATTACTGATCATTTTCGGAAATGGTTAAAAACAAATCGACCACAAGCAGATGAATATGTTTTAAATGATGTTTTGTCGACGGCACAACCATCGAATGAGGCTGAAGATTATAAGACAATTGTTAGCAAAGCACTTGATCTCCTCGCCGACCGGCATGACATTAAATCAACAAATAAATTAGGTAAACTTGTACAAAAAGAAATTACGTTAGCATCGCCGAAGAAAGTTGCTCATACAATAACCGTTCTAAAACAAACCGCAGATAAACTTCGTAGTGGAAGTATTCAATTAGAGACTGATCAACAATTGACTACGAATGAAGTAAGAGAAAAGAAAAGGATGTTTATTTTTCTCCAGCCGAGTAATTGAATAATATTTTATTTAGCTGACAAATGGTGCGACAACGTCAGAAAATAAAAGCCTCCAAGTGTCATCAGGTGAACCAGGCATCGCTCTGAAAGAAGCGTTAGAGAAAGCACGTGTCCTTTTCTACAAGGTAAAAGTTAAGCGGAAAGAAATTAATTGATCTGATGATCCATTTTTCGTACTTTAAATAGGGTAAACAAGCTGCTATCTTTGCTAATCCACATGGTGGTTATGATGTTCGAATTTTGGATGAAAATGATGAGACAGTCAATCATGATGGTAATCTTCTTCGTTCAATTATTGTTACCGAAGTCAAACTGCGCCCAAAGACGACGGCAACGACAACAACAACTAATTCAACTTTATTCTCATCAGCAACAAGCCCACCGCCGTCAAAATTACTTGACGAAAATGAAATTACTGATGATTTTCGTCGTTCGATCGATGCTGCTCTCAAAGGACTTGAAGCGGTTTATCAAGCCCCACCTACAACATTAACAACTATATCTGAACATGTGCAAGAAGTACAAGTGGAGAAACCTATTCAAAAAACATCTCCACCAACACCATTAATCCTTCAATATGGCGTTACAAATGCTCCTTTACCCAAGTCACTCTCTAAAGAACAAACAGCTCTACCAACAGAACAACCAGCACCATCAGCACCTATTGATCACACATTTCACCTCGCTGAAATTATTCGTCAAATGGCTGAACAACAAAAACTCGTTGCTGAACAGTTATCATCTGATGAGAAAGAAGTTGACGTAAGTGAAAATGACATCCAACCAAAACTTGTCGAAGCTGTTGATGAAGTAAATGAATTAATGATGGATGTAGTCGAAGTAACAACTTGTAGTGAAATCGGAAATCCAATGCCGCCGTTAGAACACGCAACTGAAGAAGTCGTTGCTCCTAGTGACGTACCCGAAGAAGAAATAGAAGGTCCTATCGAACGAATGGTTAAAGAAATCAAAGCACACGGAGAGAAATTTGAATCCAAAGAAAGTTTATCGACTATAACGACTTCAACTAAACAGCTATCGTCATATTCGCTTGGTTTAACATCACCCCTATCTAATGATTCAATTGCAACATCATCTCCTCCTTCAGCTCCTTCTCATCATCATAAAGTTAAATTACGCAGCGAAAATCGTCCGAAATCGTTCATTTCTACTGATGAACCTGTTAGTAAGGATCGATATGATTTCATCAAACAAATGTCACTAGATGAATTAGCACATTTAACTCAAACAGGTCTCTCAAATCCAAATTTAACAACATCTGTTACAAAACTTGGCATATCGACATCATCAGGCAAAATTGAGGAAGAAGGTCAACCGCCTGTCGTCACTTCTGATGCACCAGAGAAAATACCTGCGTCGATCAGTCAAATTATCGAAGAACATCGCACAATTCTCGATGAATCAGTTGGCGCTGTGTCACCGCCAGCAACTGTCGTAACTCCAGTTGAAACTCAAACAAAAGTCAAATCGCCAAGTCATAACGTGACATACACAGAAATTATCCATTCAGAATCGCGAGATGGCGAACAATCACGTCGTTTCGTAACGGAATCCTACGATGAGCATCCATCGAATGATGATGAACAAACAACAACGTTGAAAGTTATAACCAAATCTGAATTCTCCAATCATCCAACATCGGGTGAGAAAATCATGGAGCAAAGTGTTCAAGTTATAACCGTTAAAGTTCGAAATGAAACGATTAAAACTACTATTCAACAAGCATCTGTTCCGACAGTAGTAGCAGCATCGACTGATAACGAGACAACNGAATCCTACGATGAGCATCCATCGAATGATGATGAACAAACAACAACGTTGAAAGTTATAACCAAATCTGAATTCTCCAATCATCCAACATCGGGTGAGAAAATCATGGAGCAAAGTGTTCAAGTTATAACCGTTAAAGTTCGAAATGAAACGATTAAAACTACTATTCAACAAGCATCTGTTCCGACAGTAGTAGCAGCATCGACTGATAACGAGACAACAACGTATGAACGACGACCGGTTAGTGAACTTGTCAAAAATTTTGAAGTAGTCACGGGTAGTAATGGTACTAATACATGACCTTCTTTCTCATAGTTTTTCTTTCTTCAAACATTCGTTTTCTTTTGCTTTTTGTTTGTGTGTTCATGTCTTGTGCAAACCCTTCTAGATAAAAATTATCTTGAATTAACATTTAAACAGTGCAAACATTCGTTGTTTTCTTTTTTCTAATATTATCTATTGATTTTGTCTGTGAGCTTCTGTCTATGTCTATCATGGCTTGTTTCTTCTCCTTCTCCTCTTTAGATATTGCTGACTTGTGGACGTAGGTCAATAGAAATAGAAATCAAATAAGAAGAAGAAGAAGAAAAAGAAAGATAGATGAACATTTTCAATAAACTCGAGCTGCGTTGAGAGATTGAGTGAAAACTACGGCGAATGTGCTGAGAGCAACTTCATCAATCATTTAATCAACACATCTTGCATCGATTTGTTCAATCATATTGCATGACGGCGATTACAAACAGAATATCATTGTGATAGATATCAGACTATTGATCAAACATACACAATGTCAATTGTATTTATTTCATATAAATCATTTCTAGAAGATTACTCTTTCGTTATTCAACATCAGCAAGTCAATCCTAACGCGTACTTTTTGTAATGGATTGAAAGAATCGGGTGCTACGAAAAAACTTGATATGATCATTGGAATTGTTTTGGATAGTGCGATCATTTGTGGGTGAAAACAAATCATTGCTACCACTATCATTCGAGGAAGAATTGACTTGTCGTGCTGAATGACGCATGCTTGCATAGAATTTGCGTGCTGTTTCGCAATTACGTTCTTGCTTTGTTTCCGAAGTTTTCTCACTCGAGGGTGTCTACAAAGACAACATAAACACTCATCATCGGCTAATCAAATTATCTTTTATCTACTTTCATCTGTTCAGATTCATCAGGAATTGTGAACACATCATGCACATCATCATCGTCTTCATCGACAGTGCTTGGTCGAATCGATGCTTCTCTGTCGAAGCTATTCATTTGCATATTACGAACCAATGCATACAATTTCGGCGAGAGATTCGGCACGGGATTATAAGCAGGTGCCCAATTATATGGGCTAGCTAATGATAATTCTTTCGATCTTTTCTTCGCTTGATTTTCTAGACGAAATGTATTGATAACAGTTACAATTGTATTCGGGTACTCACCAAGATCATAATCAGTTCCACAGAAGAATATTTTGCATGAACGCATTATCTGTGAACCACATTTTCTTCGTATAAAACATAAGATACTGAGAATAGTGATCACAGCGAATAGAAGTAAGATACCTAACCAAAATGGATGAAGATATTCCTCATTTTTATCTTCATATATATTTGAGGTATTCATCGAGTTGTCAGAGAAGTAAAAACGTATTATCGATGAAGAAAACGTTTCATGAGCAAGATTACTCAAAAGATGTATGATGCTACTCAACTAGAGTTTTTCTTTTTCTTCTACTTCTCTTTTTCTTCGATTCACACTAGATTGAGTAAAGCACTAGGTAAGATTTCGAGACTCACGTTCTGGTCTCGATGCATTCATCATTATACAGATGAGTTACTATCTTAGGAACTGGGATTCTACATGTTTGCCTTACAGCGATTCGTAAGTAGCAGATTAAACAATACTAGTATTGCATGTATACAAAGTTTCCCATCGATAATGGGTATACATTGATTTCACTGCATACATCACCACCCCAACGTTACACAATCAAACTTGTATCTCGTTGTACAACTATTTCGATATTCTAAACGTAGGCAGCTTACTTCATCGAGATGCGTATCATTATTCCAAGTATATACACGTCAGATATGTCTAAGCACGCGAGACTTTCAACACTCTTAAGAGTCGACTTTGAGGAAATGCGCATGTCATTTCCTTTCGTTATATAATACAGGTACTCGTTGAACATTTAGCTGAAATTATTTCTTACCACTCTATTTTCTAAATTGATCAAAATCTACTCATTGAATTGCAGCTATTCGAAATGAATTTCAATAAACACTCTTCGCGTAGTTCTGGATTTTTATTACATATGTTGTTTTGTCGAGAATGTTAAAAAGAAAAACCGAATAAAAATGCTCGTGAGAAACGAAAAGAAGAAGAAGAAACGAAAAGTGCGAATATGAATAAGGAACACTAACTTGTATAAAAAAAAAGAATTCGAAACAACAACAGCATATCAAGAGAGAGAGAGAGAGCGAGGTGATGAACACACACATAGAGAAAAAGAACATATCTTGAGAATTATCCTCGAGGAAAGAGATTTTAGATAGGCACACACGAAAGGGACTGTTCAAACATCTATAGATACAGAAAAAGTTTATATTCGCTAGGCGATTAATGAAAGAAAGTGTCTTGTATGTTATTCTCATGAGATACAGACAAATACTTTTTGTTTTTGTTTGTCGTTATTGCAAAAAAGAATTGAAATATATGCAGATATTTTCTAAAGATATTGTCAAAGTCATATAAATACGAAGAAAAGTATAAATTCTCTCGAAAAGAAATGTTAAAAACAAAGTTTTATGTCTATGTGCAAAGAAATAAAACGAAAGAAAGAATAATTAATATTGTTCAGAATTGCTCGAGATTATCGTTTGCCTAAAAACGGATACATTGATTCTTTTACTGATCCGTAGATTGACTACCACCACGAATCGTTGGAATTGGTGTCGAAGCATTATTCGTCGATGGATTCACTCCAGCACGGATTGGTTTTACTGAAACGAAACAGAAGTTTAGCTTTCTATAGGAAGATAATGAGATGTGATTTACCGATTTGAGCAGCATTGGTACGACGAGCAAGGTTACGTTGTCGGACAGCTTCTTTAATGCGATCAACTTCGCACTGGTAGCGTTTTCGATCTTTCATTGCGCTTTCTTTTGCTTCTTTTAATGCTTGTTCAAGTGATTTAACGCGATCCATTGTTGCTTTAAGACGCTTTTCTAATTTTGGTAATTCACATCGAAGGTCAGCATTTTCACGCACAAGCTATGACATGGATGAGAAGATTAGAAGATCGTCGAGGTTTTAGGATTACCTGTTTATGAACTTTAGTCAGTTGATCGAGATTGTTCTCCAAAAATGAGATCTTTTGTTTTTGAGCAGCACTACCGCCTGAATCATCCTCTTCTGCTTCCGGTTGTTTTTGAGACTTTCATAGAAGAGAAATAAATGAAGATTGTCAAATGTGGGAAGAGACATCAAACCTTTCTCAGACGTGCTTGTAAATCTTGGACGAACAGTTTGCGTAGATTATGTAATGTTTGTAATTCCTTGGCAACTGTTTCTTCGAGACCTTTCAAATCCTGTTTGGCTTGTTCACGACGTTCTTGTTGTAAACTAAAATGCAAATAGACAAATTCTATCTTTCGGCAAACTTCATTTCTTATTTACGTCATTTCTTGTAATCGACTGGACTTATCTGTTTCTTCTTTTTTCAATTTCTCATGATCATTCGATAATTTATCATAAGCTAATTCTAATTTTTGTAAAGAACTAAACAAACAAGGAATTCAGAATATAGACAAGGTCAAACATTCGATTTACTCTTTTAAAGTCTCCATCTGGGTTTCTTTTGTACGAATTTCATCGCGTAAACTTGTCAATTGCTTTTGATGTTGTTCACTGATCTGTTCCATTTGTTGACTTAGCTCCTTTTGAACATCGGATGTTGAACCAGCAACACTACCTGTACATACGATTGATGCCAACGTGTGATATTTGTGTGTAGAAAACATGATTCTTACCTTGAGCGCGAAGTTTGACTAGTTCCTCATTGAGTGAATCTTGTGTTTGTTCTAAAGTACGTTTCTTCTCTTCTAACTCTTTGATTGATTCTAGCATCGAGCGCATTTTCGCTTCGTGTTGTTGGATTAATAATCGTGCTTCGTCTAGTTCTTTATCTTTCAATTCAATACCTTTCTGATGATCAACTTTTTCGACTTCAAGTTCGCTCAAACGCTACAACAAACAAATGTTCAATTCATTTACAACAAGTAACAACATACTCCTGTGATGCTTCGTGATTCCGTTTTTAATTTGCTCATGTATAGACGTGCTAAAGTAAATTCCTCTTCTGCTTGGTCAAGATTTTCAATCGTTGGTTTCTGAAAATCCACAATTGTCAAGTTCATTCATATTTGAGAAAAACAACTATACCTTTTGTTCATTCATTTGTCCGCCCATAATACCGCCGATGTCACCCACATCCCGTAACAGTACTAAAATCATATCCAGAAATCGTTTACGTTGAGTTTGCGATGCTTCCCGAAGACTTTCCAGTTCTTCTCGAATACCATTCAACGAAGCCTATTTTATACGACAGAAAATTCCTTTCTCAGAATAAAAAAGAAGCAAATCTGAACGAACCAATTTCGCGTCGAGTTCTTGAACTAATGTTTCATTTTCTTTACTTTTCGTTTCAACTTCTTGTGTTTTCTGATCGTAATTAACAGCCAGTTCCTCGAGAGCTTGTAAAACTTCTTTAACTTCTTCTTTAGCTGATTCACTTTCTTGTTGAAGACGATTTAGTTCTGCTTGAAGATTTTCATTGTCTTTACGAGCCTGACTAAAGATTTCATCTTGATCAGTTGTTTGAGATTTCAATCGCTCGATCGTTTGTGCTAAATTATTGATTTCATCATCCTTGACAAAAGAAAATATATGAACCGACTGTAATTTGACACTTATCAAGTATTCTTACTTTTTCATCTAATTGTTGATAGAGTGCACTGCGTTCTTTTTCCCATTCATCGGCATTGATGGATGCGCGTAGATCAGGACCACCTAATAGATTGGTCACAGCCAGTGCATTCGTAGTAGATGTTGGACTAAGAGCTGTTGAGGCGACAGTCGAAAGTGACATTGTTGATTGAGTGATCGAAAGTGTTTCGTCAGTTTCATTGAGATTAATTTGTTCGTCTTTATTCACAGTTTCACCTGAAGGGAAGAAAGAAAAAATTCTTGTAGATATGTTATTTTTTGGGAAATTATCAAATGATTCACCTTGTCGCCATCGTTCCAGCTCCATTTCTGCTCGACTGAGTTGACCTTTTAATCTTGCAACCTTCTCTCGTTCTTTCTCCCATCGACGTTTCCATTCTTCAGCAGTTAATTCTTCATTAACCGTAACTGAATTCTTAATACACTTGGCTCTGAATAAGAAAAAGGAAATACTCAGAATGAATCTACCTCAAAATCAACTCATCAAACCTTTTGCCAAATTCAAGTGTTGATTTCGTTTCAGATTCATTGAAACTAGCCGGTGAACAACAGATGATTATAGTTGTACGAGCATTACCACCTAAAGATTCTTGTAAAATACGCGTTAATTTTGAATCGCGATATGGTACATGAGATTTCTAAAAAGAGAATGGCGAAGTTGAAGAAAACAACAAATGAACTTTTCAGTACATACAGTTCCATCAGCTAACGCTGAAATGACATTTCCGAGTGCCGATAAAGATTTGTTAATATTTTTAGCTTCATCAAGAACTTGACCTTCGGCCCCGGTTTTCGAAACTTTTTCACTTCCCGCTAAATCAACTAGGTAAAGTTTTCCAGTTAATTTCTTTTCATTTTCCACATTTTCTTGCTTAACATGAATAAGAAAAACAGAATGTGAACGAGAACTATGTTCATTCATATTCGTGACAGCAATGTGTCGATTGTTTTTTCCTTCTTCCATGATCTCGAAAACTTCATCAGGTGACGAAACAAACCGTTCAGTTACTCCCTAAAACAGAGTTGTTCTCAGTCAATAAATCAACAAATCTCGACTTGAACATACTTTGACATACGGCACGCGGTTTTTATCTTCATGCACAGCTAGATTAGTTTTGGATACATCAAGTAAATCACGAATTTTATCAAGGTATATTTCAAAATAAGAAACTTTGATTTGAAATTGAAGGTTCGCATCTAATGTATATATATGATTGAATATATCTTGAACAATTCGAGGAATTATGCCCTGCTGACCATCACTACCCATCACACCCTGAAAAAAAAACCAATCAGCATTAGAATAAAAAAAAAGAAAGACCATTTCAATGTGGTTTACCTCCATTGTATGTGTCTTTCCACTGGATGTCTGACCGTAAGCGAATATCGTTCCGTTATAACCGCTAAGCACATCTTTGACTATCTCTTTTGCGGCTTCATTATAAACTTTTTCTTGGGTAGCATCAGGGCGAAAAACTTTATCGAATATATAAACTTTTCCCTAGAAAGATTTCATTGAATCGATGATAAGAAAGATTCAAACGTGATAACATACACTTATGAGAACAGTTTCATCTTGATCTGCGGGAAATTTGACGACGCTTTTACTTCCAGCACGTTCTTCCGATTCGTTTAATGGACGAAAACGAGCAACAACTCGTATGTTACATTCATCAGCTGCCATTAAACGTCTTGAGTTTGATAGATCTTGAAGAAGTAAGCGTCAATTCTCTAAGTAGCAAAGAAAACAAACGGAACAAATAATTCTTGTAAGAACGAGTGACTCAAAAAGAAAATGGAACAATTATCGTCATCAGGAGGACAGAAACAGTCAGTCTATATATGTATGCAATATGTATGTGTTAACTACTATGAAGTTTTTTTTTCTTTCTTTTTCACTCAATGACTCATCCAATCAGCCATCGTGAAAGTACAATAGCTGTTTCTTTGAGGTGGTTTGTTTGCTTCCAGATGAAACCTTATATACATGAACTTACGACATCTATCCGATGCAGTTTATAAGCTTTGTATAGTCAAATATTCTACTCAAATGAGAGGTTTGGAATATTTTCGACTAAGAAGATTTTGTTCGATGTTTATTGGTTCGATATATCGGTGGATACGCGAGAAACTATCGAGTAGATGTGTAATGCGATATATGTTTTGAGATAATGAATCAACTAGTGGTAGAAAGAAATAGGGGAAAGAAAAAATAAATCTGCATCCATAGAAATCGGATCGAGTATATACATATTTGTTAATCAACAAGTCTAATATTGACTTTGAGACAACATCATTCAAACCATATTCATTTGTTTTCGTATTTCAATTAGATAAAACATTTATTATCCATTTTTTTACAACCAGAAAAAAAAGTCTTATTCATTCTTCCTTTCTTTTCCATCAAAGATAATTCTAATACAAAAATAGAAAAATAATTCGTACTTAAAAATAATGAAGATAAGGTGGTGCCGGTAGATTAGAATCCAGCGTGCTATAAATAGCAGCTCGTTTAAATAGACAGGGTGTTTCTCTCCACAGATAACGAAGTGCATCAATATGTTTCGATGCACATGAGCTTGGAACAGCAAGTGAAATAGTGAGTGGTGCACCTTCGATGCGACTTGCAGATGTTGCTACCCATGCTGTATCTGTCGAGTTGCACACACTTTGACCAGCACAACAGACCTATGACATGAACATAGATCTCTTTAGAGTCAAAATTACCAATAGAGAATATACTTCGAAGCCATTTGGATCACGCAGTTCAATACTTGGTGATACCTGACGAGAATAAGTCACATTCACTTTACTACTGTCAGAAGCCACAGTGAGACTCTCCACGATGGGTCCTTGAAAGGTAATATTTTTATAACCATAAGCTACAGCAAGACCCGATCGAGATAGTCGATAGCCAACATCGAGTTTATCTCGTGGATGAACACTATAGTTTATATTCGGACAATTGATATTTGTGATGAAATCAGTGAAAAAGAAAGATCTTACCCTCCTTCATCATCTCGTAGATCGAGTGCAACTGCCATGAAAACATTGGGCACGACATTATTGGGAACATAGCCAACATCGAATGTTTGATGCCAGCGAATCCAAGGAAATCCTCCTACAACTTTGCCTGTTTTGTCAGCTGTTGACAATTGAACGAAACCAAAGGGAAACGCAGGATCTGTGATCGATTGTGTTCGCGTATTCCATATCGCTCGCCAATATTCAATCATTTTCGAGAACGTACAAGTGTATTTGTCTCGATTATAGCCGGTATTTTGTTCTCCTACAAAAGTCTTCTCTATATTCTATCAGTTGAAGAGTGTCTTATACCTTGATACCAGATAGCACCTTTGATGACCATTCTGGTGAATGGATGGATCATTGCATTGTACAATACTGTGCTATTGAGTATAACAGTAACATTTGAATCGGTTTTTCGTTTCTTTTTATGTTCTAATGATTTTACTCTAAGTGGTACAATCTGTTTGAATAATTTGCTCTTCAGTCAAAGAGAACCTACCGTGTCACACCACAATCTTTGAGAACTTCAGGTGGAGACCAATATTCAATATCCGTACCACCCCACGATGAGTGAATCAAACCAATAGGTCGTCCTCCAAGCTGTTCATTAATCATTCGACCATACAACCAGCAAACTGCCGATGTGGCACCACTACCGACCGAAGCAGGCTCTGCGACTGACCATTTTAACGCAATCGATAATAGTTCCTCTTGAGGTACTGCTGACTGCTGCTGCGAGGCGCTAAATAGCCGAACCTTTGGATATTTGCTTGAATTTTCGATTTCAATAGATGCATTGAACATTCTGTTCACAGGAAATTCCATATTCGACTGACCTGAACAAATCCACACATCACCAAACAGTACATCATTTAATAAAATGGTGTCCAACGTCCCATTTGGTAATGGTCGAGTGACGTTGATCTGAAATGGACCTTCTTCGGTTTGAGCATCGAGTGTAACTGACCAGATAGATTCACCAAGTAAGTTTGATGATCGGGAAGAACTTCTTGTGTGATATTGTTTATTATTCATTGTGAGCAAGATCGGTACATCAAAAGTATCTTCGTAACCCCAGACAATAGCTCGTTGTGGAGCACGTTGTAGGACCATATGATCTTGAAAGTAGTTTGCAAATCGCAAAGCACCATGAACTAAAATAGATGATTGATGTTATTGAAAAAGAAATGAGGCCCTTTCGCTTGTGCTTTAGATACCATTAATGGTGTTTATGATCAGAATGAAGAGCGGAAGATACATCGGAGCCGTTTTGATTATTACCAAGAATGTGTTTTGTGGTACCTAGGCGTGTGTTGCTTTTAAATACATTGAGACATATCTAAAGATAAGATATGAAAGATCTTATCATTCTCATCTTTGGTATCTGTGGAATGTTCAAATCTAGATGGCGCTCAGTGAAATCTTTCGAGAACAAAATACACAGTTGAATATTTTCGTGTTCTGATTAGTTCTATGTATGTTAATCGATACGCTTATATTCGTGAAAGAAAGAAAAACACGTCATGTCTGACAACGAATTAGATGAACTACTTTTACAATTGAAAGATGCATGTAAAAAGTAGATAAATCGCTTTTTTGAATATCTTCAATTTCTAATCGATTTTTGCATTTTGAGGTCTCGTCACCATTCATCGAATGAAACTAATCTCAATACGACTCTTAAAAAGATCGATGTCTTCATTAATCGACGTCAGATGAAGTTACTTAATCATCAAAAACGTCTCGAAGATTTACAACGTGACTTACTAGTATCCGAATGTGAAAGTTCTCGCAATCGTGTTGCACTCGAAAGAAAACATTTCGAAGTATGAACGTCATTGAAAATCTATCATATCATTCGTTTTTGTCGATCAGGTCAATCAATTGCATATGATGTTAGACAAAGCAGAACAAACTACTCAAGATATTATCACTAAATATGATAAAGAAATGCAGAAATTAACACATCAGGTGAATATTTATTGAATAATTCACTGGATCCTATTTAAATTTTTATAGCTTTCAAATGTTCAGCAAGAATGTGATCGATTTAAGACAATACAGACGATTAATCAAGATGATAAATCAATCAAAGATGTCTTAACTGAAATTCATCGACTTCGAGAACATAATAAGGTTGTTTTCTTTAACTTAATTCCTTAAAATTCCATATCTCGAATCTCCAATAGATGCTCGAAGTTGATAATCAACGTCTGTATATTGAAAATGATCAATTGAAACAAGCACAAAATTCGCCATTGCAAAACTTACTCGATTCGTTGCAACGCAGTAACTCCGTGAATCCAACATTATTCGAGTCAAAAGTACAATCTCTTGAGAAAGATATTCAAGATTACAAACAACGTACAAATCAACAAGTAAACGAATGATTATCTCATGAATGTTTTCGCATAGTTTCAACGTTTTAGTCGGACGAAATCGAAAAACTTCGTTTAGCGTTGCATAATAGTGAACAACAATGTAGTTCACTCCGATCAGAGCTACAGACTGCTCAAAAAGAAAAAGAAATTCTCAAGGTTCATTTACTCGAACAGAAATTTATGGAAAGTCCATCAACTGATCCTAAGTAATTCACTTCCGTTGTCTTTCATTGCGCGGAACATACAGTTCAACTTTTAGAGAGATTGATTATGAAAAGTTCATTCGTCAAGAACTTGAAACAAATATTGGCCAAGCAAATAAACTGATCAAGTGAGCTATCGATTTACAAACTATTCTCAACTCTTTTCGATTTTCAGTTATTGGAATTATCATAAAGAATCCTTAGAAGAGAAAATTCGACAATTGACATCAGAAATTACTCAACTGAAGAGAAATGTAAATGATTAATATCTTCCAATTTTCATCCGAATGATTTTCTTTTCATAGAATGTCAATGATTTCTCCTTACAGATAAGTCAATGTAATGAAAATGTTCTTCATACCAAACGAGAGATGAATGTTTTACACATGGAAATAACTGACAAAAATACGATTATCTACAATTTGTATCGAAAGATTGAATGTCTCGAACAGGCATTGACAATATCAAAACAACGAATGAATGCTCAATTACATGAAATTGAAGTAAATATATTCAATTCATCTAGAAAACATTTTCAATTGTGTTCTTTCTCTCACAAAGGAACTTCGATCAAGAAACCCAATGAGTACATTAACGATCAACAGACAAATAGTAAAGAATTTCATGAATTTCTTCTTCCAAATAACGATTCTTTTGTTAATAGAAACAAACATCACCGTTCGTCGATGGAATACTAACAGATGATGAAGTTCAACTGCGACAATCCATTGATCTCGACAAAAACTTGTTCACAAGTTCGCCGATAAAATCGACGAATATACACAAGTAATTAGAATTTTATTTCTCAGCAAGTATACTGGAATATTGACATGTGTTGAAAACAGTGTGTCTTTCTCTTGTACTTGACCTACATGTATTCAAGAATAGTTAAATGATAGAACTTTTCTTTTCGAAATAAAATCATCAGATATGTTGTTCGTTTTCGTTGTTTTTAGACACTTTCACCATATTGATAGTGATTCATCATTGAAATGCTCAATGAATTTCATGGAATGATTAAACTTTGTTTGTTTAATTGATGAACTGATTCAATGTCGATTTTATTTTATGTAGATTTTCTCTGATAACAAATAAATATCAAATGATTTCTCTGTAGTCAGTTATTGTCTCATGATCACCTTCACATGTGACCTACGAGAAACTAACTCTTCATTCTTCTGCTTATCTTAAACCCTAGGAAGTACTGAAATCAGCAGACTAGATGATGATCAGTATTGTGAGAAAAAGCTTTTTAGTCAAATGAAATTATGCGCTAAAATCTGTTTGTAGAGTGTACGGTGAGTATGAAAGTCTTGCTGACATGTTCTTATCAGTAGCAATTATCTTCTAACGTATTTTGCTGATCTTAGCGAAAGTAGAATATGTGATATGAGATGATACATGACATAAAAATTGTGTGTTATATGATTTTCTAGTTTTCGTTCATCAACACTTTTGTATTTGCAAGTTCAATTACAATCGTTTCAGGATTGTGTTTATATCCTCGATGGTCATTTCAATCTACTTCACACGCTCAATATTGATATGATTAATCCTTTTGATCTGCATGAAGTTAAGAATCGAGTTCGTTTTTGTTAAGAGAAATCTTTCTTGTTGAAGACAAGTTATTTTTCTTTCAAAAATCAATTACCAAATCTCAAGTCTTTTTCGTTTTCATCCAAGTTCTTGTTACATGTTTATGAGCAAACAATTCTTCCGCTTCTCGTTCGAATGTCAAATCTGAAACGGCTCGGTTTGTATGTTCCAAGGGTAAGTGAAACAAGATCTATTGTTGGAAATTATCCGTCGGAAAATATTCTCAATCATATGACGAAATTAGATGATTTTCCAACTAAGACTATTGTTTGTTATATTGCTCATTTATCCAAAATGAACGGAGGACAATGTCATATTTCTTTATATTCAGTTTAGATGAAATATTACAATTGTATCACGAACAATTTTCCGGGTAGATCGTATCAATACGTTTAGAGAGTATCATTATTTGATGAAAAACCTTTTGAACATTTCGAATTTAAAAATCGTTTCTATTCGTGCTAATCTTAACCGTGAGAAATGAAAAAGCACAAAATCGTTAGGAACCAAGTGGAAATGTATTTCTTATCTTATATTCTCTTCTTTATGAATGTCATTCTTTGTATTGATTATGAATCTTTAGAACGAGTGACAGACAATTTTACAAAGGAAAGTACACGAATCAATTGCGACAAAGATAACCAATTATGTTTTCGTGATAAAACAAAATGTTGAAATTCGTTGAAAGAATTTCTTCCAAATGCAACGATAATTAATCGATGGAGCTTTTGAAAGAAAATTAAAACAACAGCTTCTATCAATTGTGTTTGTTGTGATCTTGATTTTGTCTAAACTGGATTAATGTTCTCTAACTAAATATTTGAGTATATTTCGAACTACTTGTGATGATCGATCAGTGAAAGTTCTTTTATTGCTGATGCTCGTGGTTCATCGTAATAAATTTCCAGGTCGATCAATTCCATACCCGAATCTGATATTGGATTTTATCGGATTCCGTTGGTTGTAGATTATATCGGATTTCGTAGGAACGTCGAATCCGACAAGATCCTATCGGCCCCGTTACCAGATTTGTCGACCTGAGTTGATGAGATGATATCAACAGAATTCTTTTGGTTGTGCTTTAGATACTATTAATAGTGCTTCCGATCAGAAGAAAGGGCAGAAGATACATGGAAACCCTTTTGATTGTTATCAAGAGTGTGTTGCTTTTAAATACATTGAAATGTATCTAAAGACAGGGTATGAAAGATTTTATCGTTCTCGTCTTTGATATCTGTGGGATGGTTTTCTATATGTTGAAAACGATGAATTGAAACAAGTAAACAATTCTCCACCGTAAAAATCACTTAATTTATTGAAACGCAGTAACATATTCATGAATGTTTCGGTGTCAAAGCGAAAAACTTCGTTTAGTGTTGAGGAATAATTGAGTAACAGCGTAATTCACTGCGATCAGGATTAAAGAAAAGAAATTCTCAAGATTCATTTACCCAAACAAAAATAGGTTGAATGTACTTCATATGTACGTAAATAACTAATAAAAATACGATTATTTTGTTAATAGAAACATGAATCACCATCCATCGATAGGATGCCGATTGATGATGAAGTTCAACTGCGACTATCCATCGATATCAATAAAACCTGTATACAAGTAAATACGATTTTGTTTCTTAACAAGTACATTGCAATATGGGTTGATATTCTGTTGACATGTATGTCAGACTGGAGGTTTTTCTCTCGGTCGCAGTTGTGACCTGCCTATATTCAAGAACAGTACAACGACAAAACTTTTCGGCCCATAATAAACAGATAAGATATTCTGCTGTTTTTCTTCCTGTTTAGATCTTTTAATCATTTTTATAGTGTTCCATCGTCGAGATTGTAGACAAATTTCATCGGATGATAGAACTTTTCGTTTGCTTGATTGATTAATTAGTTCGACGTGGATTTTATTCGATGTAGATTTTCTCTGATAACAAATAAATATCAACTGATTTTTTTCTGTAGCCTGAATACATGTTTATTGTATACTGAATGCAATGAGTAGAAAGCCCACAAATGTTTTGTATGATTGATTTTGTGTATATGTGTTATGTACTGATCTATTTTTTTTCTGCTAATGATATCCAGTTAGTTGAAGGGTCGTTCGTGTTGGATACATTTTTATGGGTTGTCTTCAATCAACACCTACGCATTTAGAGAAATCTTCAGTATAACCTTGGTTAAAGAACATATTTAAGAATAGAACAGATCAGACTGTAATTAGATGAGCAACAACTGGGACATAACTTAAATAGTAACAATACATGAGTAGCTGTTTTAGGGAATCTTTGTTGTCTTCCTTTTATTGATATCTTACAGAAAGAAAAAGGAAAAAAAAACATTCCTAATTGCCAGTAGCGTTGGCTTGATATAGATCTTTTCCTTTCGTAAGACGACGTGATTGATCATCAGAATATCATTGGCGAGAAAGAAGAAAAGGAAGGAAATATACCAGGTTAACGAGGGTAGATGAGGCACATCTTACCAGTGGTTAGACAAGAACAGAAAGGAAATAATATTGGTTGTAAATGGTTGTTTCTGCGACCGACTTAGTAGAGCCAAATTTGGGAGGAACATTTAGGTTAGAGTTTCATCTCGTCATCGCTTTTCTGCCCACGGACTGTCGATGCCTACGCATATGTATAAATACCCATCGTACATATAGAAAAGACCGAATCGTCTCAAGAGCGCGTTTCCTTTATGCTATTTTTCTCTCCTGTTATCCAAATAATGATGAGAGATACTGTGCATGGTAACAGTGATGGTATCGTTCTTTTTCTCCTTCCTCAACTAGAGATACACATCTTCCGTATTCACTACTGTAGATATTTTCTCAATATCTTTTTCGTCGTCGTCGTTCTCTCAGTGATGATGCTGGAAACAATCATTCCCAGAGAAAAAAAGGATGTTCTAGACGCTATCGATTGTTTTTTTTTGTAGATACGGAATAGCTGCACATCGACTGATACGTATAGATAGCGAGCAAGAAAAACAGAGATCAAGAAAACAACTGTATTGTTTTTATATCCTTTTTTTCTTCGCAGAGAAGGAGAAGTTTCATTAGAGAGCTAGTCGACTAGCTTGTTTTTTTTTATGCAAGTAAATACAACAAGAGCATACCGTTTATCAAGTCAAAATTATTGTGAGTAAAGAATACGTATACATAAATATCAATATTTTTCCTCGATAGATTTATCGAATGAAAATATATCGCTTTCAACTCTTCGCAAGTAGTCAAATGACAAATACACAAACAAAATATTTGTGCTTTTGGCAAGAAAATTTCTTTCACTTGCGGTACATCCATAGATTTAACTGAGAAATTTATCCTTGATAACTTTAGCACTGTCCCTCTCATATGATTTGCTGTTTTTGTTTGTCTCAAGTGCATGTACCTACTTGATTTCATTCATCCTTCCAGATGCCATTCACAGTAACAATCGTTCGTTGCCCGAAATGTAATCAGGCTGTTTACCATGCTGAAGAAGTACAAGCAGCGGGTAAAAAATGGCACAAAACATGTTTTAAATGTGGTAAAGTATCATTCCTATACTCTGCTTTTGCTCTCTTTCTCGCCCTTCCTATGTCTAATTGTTCATCAAGCGAAATACGATTTTATTTGTTATTTTCAGGCTTGTGCAGAAAGATGTTAGAATCGACAACACTGGCTGAACATGAAGGCGATCTGTTCTGTAAACAATGTTATGCACGTAAATTCGTAAGTTATTGCGTTTGCTTTCATTTTAACACACATTAATCTAATAAATTATAGGGCCCGAAAGGCGTAGGCTTTGGTGGGGGTGCAGGTACACTCGGTATGGATACAGGAGAACATCTTGGAAATACAACGGGATCCGAAATGACGTAAGTCTATCCTATCTTGATTGACAGTTGTTCTTGTTACTACATATGACTCCATTGATTTAGAAATAAACCACATTATGCTCCACCGCCTGGTCTTGATCAACAGTGATAGTGCGGAGTAATCAAATCTATATTTCATGAACATTTCTTTTGCTCAAAGTTTTTGTTTTCTTCTTCTACGTTAATATATTTTTATTCGTCCGCTTCGCTATGATATACAAGATGGGTGTGAAACAAATTCTAATCATTCGATATTATTTTAGATTTTATCCTTTTGCGTTCAGTTCTAATTCGTCTTTTCTCATACAATCATGCCATTTACACCAGCCGAAGTGTTCAAATGTAAGACCAGAGACAAAACTTGTCTTGTTATTTTCTGCTTTTGCCTAGGCCCAAAATGCAATCAAAACGTCTATGCTGCTGAAGAAGTCGCAGCAGCCGGAAAGAAATGGCACAAAATGTGCTTCAAATGCGGTACGTCACACATGATCGGAAAAAATCTAATAATTCATTTCATCTCTTCTGAATAAATTAGGTCTCTGCAAGAAAATGTTAGAAGCTATGACGATGGCTGTGCATGAAGGAAACATTTTCTGCAAACAATGTTACGGTCGTAAATTCGGGTAAGTTATCGACCATATACATAATCAAAATCACAGATCAAAATTCTTTTCCAGACCAAAAGGTTATGGTTTCGGACAAGGTGCTGGTACATTAGGTATGGATACTGGCGAACATTTAGGAAACAAGAGTGGATCTGAGATGAGGTAAGAACCCCCCTGTTGTTTTCTTTTGGAATGCATTATTGATTTGTGTTGCTTTCAATTGTAGCAATAAACCAAACTATGCCCCACCACCTGGTGCTGCTCATCATGATGAATAAATGGATTTGCTTATTACTTAATATCCAAGTCCATTATTTCTCATGTATAAACATATTCAGAAACAGAACAAACTCGATCTCATATCTTTTTTTCTCTTCTGAAATTCTTTACTCGTTTCGAACTCTGATCACCTTTAGCAAAGCCTTCTTCTCTTTTTGTTTAAGACTATTCTTTGAAAAACCTGGTCGTGTTTTTTTTTCTTCTTTTACCTCTTCTTCTTTTTATTCAATTTAATATTCTATGCGAGATGCAATCTTTTAATACGATTTAACCAAAAAAGAACAACAACAATCTAACAAATCATTTCGGATAACAACTAATCAATCTGTTTGTCATTGATTTCAACAGCAATTACACTATTTGCAAGCACATCTCTCAATTGAATTGCACGCAAAACGTGATAAACAAACTTCCTTATGTCTCCTTTCGAACAATCATAGAATATGACCTTTCTTTTTGATAATTATCGATGTAGATATACTAGTAAACCATCGATAAAAACCTAACCAAATGCTTGCCGACATTTCTTCTCATCCGACAGAACTAGCAATCATGGGGGAGAGATCTGTCTAACTTATGCTTGTCTATTTACATGAATAAGATGGATAATGGCAAATAACAACAAAAAACAACAGCTTTGCATTATTGTTTTTTCTCAAGATCTAACCAATCACGAAGGTTTTATCACAGAAGAAAAAGATTGCTATACATAATACTACCAAATGAATAGAAAAACAACAACAACAATGTAAATATGGACAAGTAACTTAAATAAACGAATACCGTATGGATGTGGCAGATTGTTCAGTTGAACAAATGGGTAGAATTGTATGGAGAAGATTGATATGAGTTCGCACAAAAAGAATCAAATGGTAAAATATGGTTTGAATGTGGTTGATGATAACGATCGAATGGAAGATCATACGAAGATTCTTCATATCGATTATTAGCTAAGGAATGCGGTGAAGGAGGAGAAGAATGAAAATTATAATAGTTTTGATTGAAATGTTGATCGACAAAATGTGGTTGATACTGAAAAGATCAGGAGAATGATTGTATATTTCATCAATTAATACAAAACTTACGAAAGGATTGGGTGGCGGACTATGAAATTCAGGCCGAATTGACATCAGTGGCGGTGGTGGAGGAAAGTAATTCGGCTAGAAAAGATTTCAAATTTCTTCTCATACGAATATAGTATATACACATACTTCTTCAATCATATCATATAGGGTTTGTTTGAAGAAATTGACAACATTTGAATTCTGCGGCGTTTGTTGACATTGCTCATTGAAAACCTGTACCATAAAAAAGCATTGTTTGCTGTTTTATTAGTTAGAACAAACTTTACGTTGTAATTATGTGGTTCAAAGACTTTCTCATTGCATCGTTTTGGTCGATGTCGATTCTTTCGTTTGGTTTTGATTATCGGTGTTTGTTCAGGTTGTTTCCTCTCTGACATTTTATTCATAATTGATAAAGATGATGCTGATGATACTTGAGAATGAGACATTATCGACTGATATGATGGCAATTTCGAAGAAGGTCGAATCACTGGTGTAAATCCATTAGCAAGGACTGGATCTTGTTTAGGCCGAAGAATTGTTGTTTCGCCATTTCGACGGATATCCATTTCATGATTTACAAAACGACCTTCACTTGAAATCGTTGTATCCGTATCGATATATTGTCGGCTGGTATTTTGTAATGGATCAGTTGAATGGTCTGTTAATAATTGTGCTAATGGATAATCAAAATATTTTATATAATTCATCGTTCTTTCAACTAAATGATCTTTCAGAAGATTTGCTGGTAAGTTTTTCTAAATGAAAACAATCATTATGTTTTCGTAGAAATCGATCGAACTATTGTTTTTACGATTTGATGATGGTTATTTCGATTGAAGTGGTTCAATCTTTTGACTTGATGGATATTTGAACGAGATCTTCCTTGATTATTATGTAGCATCGTTTATGTTTGACAGTTTACAATGAAATAGCAAAAGTATAATACGTGGTTCGGTGTACATGTCTTTGTTATGTGATAAGAAAGAGAGGATTTTTGAAAAAAAGTCAACAACAAGCGCCATCTTCATAAAGAAAAACTGTTGAATTGAGAAAAGCGCGTGTATTTATATTTTCTGTCAAATATGAATATCATCTTCCATTAACCAGTGAATTGCATCTGTTTCTCTATGTTTTTTTTCTGAATTTTTTTGAATGATCATATTTTCATGGAACTAGAGAAGAAACAACGAAAAAATCATCTTCGAATTCGAAGAACCAAATCAAACTAGTAAGAAAATACAAAAATTTCATCGAGAAAAAACAACTTCCTCTTGTGTTATAGTTTAGAAGGTAGTCATGATTGTTTAACAGAAGCTTTTATCACTATTTATAACAATTCCATATGGTGTTTACAATCAATCTATGAAGTTTTATTTCGATCTTTTTGGCAAGTGTTCCTTCTAGCGAAGGGAGAAATCTGCTATGATTCAATAGATAAAATGGGAACAATCCCGATAAATATTATCCCAATGAACAATTCAGCAGGAGAAAATTATCGTTATCATCGATTGCCTCGCAGCCATTCTCAGTATTCACGGTAGATTGGAGCATGTGAATGAAATCGTTGATTTTTCGATAAGTTATAGAGAGAAATCGAATCTACTTTTCAATCAAACTCGTGTAACAATTCGTCCACTAGCAAATGTAAATTTAAATCGAACACCATCGAATCCAAAACTCATACAGAAAGAGGAAAACCCATCGAAAACTTTAGGAACAATCAATTCACATATTACTGTTGCACCTCTTCCTTCTTCTCATTGTCAAATTCTAACATCAAATGATAATCATTCGTACCATCCAATTGATTTATCAAAATTAGAGAAAATTGGTTCACGTGAACAACTAGCCGATGAGCTATGCCGTCGATCATGTCAACCGTTAATGTTTACCAATCGAGGAATGTGTTGTGGACATTGCCGCTCGACTCATCTTCCAAATATAGTATTTTCACAACAAGAGAAAGGATCGAGAGAAAAAACACCGAAGCTCAGTGATGCGAGTGACACACAATCGACTCCTTACTCAGGTTTGTCTGTGTCACCTAGTCTTCGATCTCCACAGACACAATCACGAGAAGAGAATGAAACGTACGAGCAAAATCAATCGATTTTCTCGTTTCCTGATCATGATACACCACTTTCTCAGCAATCCCAAGACATAATTAATGACGATAGTCAATTGAGATTAGATGCGGAAGAATTTGTCAATGATTCTATACAAAATGCACAAGAAAAGTATCAAAAAGTAACATCATACGTGTCCATTCTCCTTTTTCTAATCAATACTTACTTTAGAGTTTACAAAGTTCGTCTAAAAGTGATTACAAAGATGATACTAAACAAACGGTAAAGCTTCGCTCTAAATCCGTTGTTATTTCTGATGAACTGCCAAACGAGAAGTCAACTGAGACGAATAATTTATATCAGCGACTGTGCAGTAAACTCAATTTATCGAATGTCAATCAGATATCTGAAATTGTTGATTTACTCGCTTGGAAAGCTCCGCATCTTCTCAAAGAACAACCTGTCAATCTCAGCCAAGGTCTTTTTCAAAACTCACTCAAACATTTCAAAACTTGTCGTTACTCTTTTATAGAAAAAGAAAATCATTTATGCGGTCAATTACTTCTCCATCCACCTTTTAAACCAAAGCGATTGATACACCTCTGTCCAGATGGAAGTATTCAAGTTCTTTCTGCCATTGACGACCAGAAATCTTATGATCATAATCAACAGTATCATCTGAATTACTCCAATTCAGCAACAAGTAACATTTTCTTTTCCGCAAAAGAAAACGTGATAACGAAATTATTCTTAGATGAATCACCACTTGCTCTAGAATATGAAACAATCGCGGTTGATCCACCAATAGATTTGAATCATAGAATTATTGCTGAGTCTACATCTCTTCAGCAAATACAAGCTCTTATCAAATATGATAATCTACTAGAAGATTCGCCAATTGAAATCGATTTCGAAGAAAGTGATCCTATAATCAAAGTCGATCTTGAATTAGAGGATGAGATAACCGAAGTCCATAGTGAAAATGAGGAAAATTCTTTTCCGGAGGTCTTCTTCAAACGTATCATCACACCGGAACGTAACCACACCCTGCGTCATATAACAGATCGTTCATCATATTCAACGATAAGCTCATGAAAGGCGATATATGACTTCTGAAAAACTTTATTCCATGTAAAAATGCGGAGAAAGAACATAAACAGTTAAATAATAAAAAATAAGGAATATAAATGAAAAGAATTTGTCATTAAACCGCGTCTATCTGTTTACCAAATGATAAAAAGATTTGCTCAAGTGTTGTTTGTGTTATGGTATAAGTTTCAATTTTTAATAGTTCTTTATTTTCTTCAAGTAGTTGAAAAAGATCAGCTGGTGTACCATTTCTTGCTTGAAATGTAGCTGTTGAATGTGTTTTCTCGGACATTTGAAAACCGAATTCTGATTTTGATAGTAAAAATGCTTGTACGTTATCAATTGCTTGGCCTTGAACATCACCTGAATGAAATTTCACTTTGATTGATATTGAGTAACCATGACCAAACTTGGATTTCAAATGTTGAATTGTGCCCAAACATGCCAACTGACCATAGTACATGATACCAAGACGATTACAGACACGTTCACTAAATAGAACTGACAATGACTCATCAATTGTTTCCTATCGTCTCTTTTACCATTCATCCATGGAGTGACTTGTCAAAATGATTGTTAGTTTCGCTTTGACAGCATTTAAAAAGATTTCTTGCATTCGTTGTCGAGCATTTGGATCAACACCTGTCGTTGGTTCGTCGAGAATTGTGACTAATGGTGGTCCTGTAAAGAGACATAGGTATAAAACTAAATGACACGAGTTTCATGATTACCAATCAATGCAAGTGCAGCATGTAATCGTCGTTTCGTTCCTCCACTGAGTTGATGGATGTAATTGTGAAGAAATGGATCAAGTAAAAACAATGAACTGATAGTTTGTACCATAGAGCGAACTCGTGAGAAAGGTACAGCACGTATTCGTGCTAGAAGATACAGAGCATCTTGAACAGTTAAGAATTCCATTCGACAATCTTGCTGTGGACAATAACCGAGATGGCGTAGCGATCTAAGACGACGTTTGACATTTTGTCCATCGATGTAAGCAGTTCCTTGTGTTGCTGTTTCATCACCAACAAGAATACGAAATGTTGTTGTTTTGCCTGCACCCTATGAAATATGAAAAGAAAGGAATAGTGGTGTTGAAATGAGGATGTTTAGAAGTGTTACATTGTAACCGAGTAGACCAAAAGCTTCGCCACGTTTCGCACCGAATGTCAGATGATTGACAGCGAGAACATTTCGTCCTGGGAAATGCTTAACTAAGTCATGAACAACCATATGATCAGTTTCTTGTTGTTCTGTTACCGCAGCCTCTGCGTTTACATGACGTTGTGTTAATGCCAATTGGTCTAAATTCAAAATGCGTCGACGTTCAGCTAGAACATCACTATCAAGTGTATTTTCATCGAACTGCGCTGGAGCTTTATAAAGAAGTGACTTAAACGATATATTAACATAGCCACAATCTATTGCGGTTAAGAGCAATAACGGCACAATTATGTGTGCGATAAGAATGATCCAATTTACAGCCATCGTATCATCCCCAGTACGCGAGAAAATAGTGATTTGACCAGCCATTAGTTGACAAAATCGACTTTTGCCTGCTAAAATGTATGTCACTATTGCTTGTGCATTCACTGTTGGTGAAAGTAGATTCAGCACCCAATAAGATATATTTAGAGCGCTTTGTACCTTGAGTAATGCTAGTATCATCAGTAAGATAGTACTAATCAAATGAATTAAGACCAACACGATCATTACAGTTAATCCACACTAAACGAAATAATCAAAAACAACACTGAAGAAAACATTGATAGAAAGATTTTCATACGAGAATGTCACTTCGAATGAGTTTTGTCACCAGATATGTAAATGGCAAAGCTGCCATAGTAATGAGTATACTCAATGGATAGAATTGTACTCTTAAATCCCATGCGCTAGCAAATTCGATCGTGAGCATAGCTGCTGCTGCTGATTGTGTTTTAGGTACACCGTTAAAAGCAACATCAAATAAGCAATACATAGCAAGTAAGTAGCAGAACCAAATAACAGAACTAATCACATCGAATATGTAGTTGAAAAGCCAATATAATGCTGGACTAGAATTGCAAATTTTCATTTAAAGAGCATTCTTTAGTGACAAAGATTTGATACGGATAAACTTACTGTAGACCACTAATGTTTTGTAAAGACAAAAAGTTATCACTGCGTTCGCTAGTTAAAAATACGGCTGTGTATAAGAATATTGCATAGTACACGAATCTAAACCGGAAAGCCATGATCATTCAGAATCTTCGTATTTATCGTGAAGAAAACTTACACATCTAATATTAATCCGAATGGTAAAATTTTGATAAAACACGAAACAATATTCAAGACAGCAATAGCACCGCTAACAGATGGTTCAACTGTGAAATTTCCGGTTCTCCTATAAATAAGCGTTGATTGAATTGATGCACTTGTATCACCTAATGCATATTTATAGAATAAATTCGATGCAACTGAAATGACTTCATAGCCAGTGATCAAATTCGACGATAAGGTCTGTATTTTGTAAGTGTCACCTTGTGGAGGAGGAATTTGAAAAGCGAGATAAATGTCTGTATACGTATAAGGATGATCCATTCGTTTTTCTAGAAGAGCAATAATGAATGAAAAGTTCTTTGTTTCACACTGATGAAAACTTACGCCAAATATATCGATTTAGTTCAGTGATATTCTCTGTTCTTTTCTCAAATTTCAAATCACTTGATTTGGCTCCGACAGCTTCTTGGAAGTAATCTTCAAAAACAGGATTTGATGTGTATAGAATTGTTTGAGGATTGAGTAAAGTTGCTTGCATTTTAAAAGTATCGCCACTGCCCTGTGTTGGTGCAATAATATTCGATAGTAGATTGTATATGATTGGTAATAACAAAACAATAAGAGTCAATCCCCATCGGCGATATCGAATCACCAATGTTTTCATCAGTAAGCCATACAGTTGACTTAAATAGTATTGCCATCCGGTAAGAAAATATTGATTCTCAAAAACTTGACGGCATTGTTCATCTAAGAAGAAGAAAAGTTTTGTTTCGTGTATTGAATAACGAAGCAGTTTATACTAACCTATACGTTCCATGGTGACCGTGGTTGTTTCAGAGTCGCTTTCGTCTTTGGTATCATTGGTGATTTTCAGAAATACGTCATCCATGGTACTATTCTGAACACCATAACTTTTGATCATATTTTTCGATTTCATCACATCGAGTTGTCGTAATGCTTGAACAAATCGATCGTCTGGCTGTTGATTTGTACGGAAGACAATATCACCACCAGGTATATCACTTTCAGCTGCCATTTTAGGTAAATAAGTATGTAATTCATCAGCAATTACATTTGCATTCTGATTGGATTGTCGATTGACAACTAACTTATAACCTACAATTGCAAATGAAAACGAAAGAATTTATCATGATCATCTTTATCGTTTTACCTGAGCCATATTGTTCCTTGAGTTTTGCTGATGTTCCATCTGCTTTGATGATTCCATTTGTAATGATCATGATTCGATCGGAGAGTGCATCACTTTCTTCCATGAAATGTGTTGTCAATAACAGAGTTTTTCCTTCCTTCATTGTGCGTAACCAATCCCATAATAAACGACGATTTGTTGGATCAAGTCCACTTGATGGCTGAAACAAAGCGATACGAATTGTTTCTGACTATCAGAAGAAAGCTAAAGTGAATGATTACTTCATCAAGTAAGATAATTCTTGTATCGCCAACGAAAGCACATGCTAATGAGAGACGTCTTTTCATTCCACCTGACAATGCATTGCAAAACATATCTTTAGAATTCTCAAGATTAACCAGTCGAAGCATTTCGTCAGATATTTGTTGTTTGTATTTGCCGAATCCTCTAGCCGATGCATAGAATTGTAATTGTTCTTCGATGGTCAATAGATCGAAGAGAATGTCATGTTGTGGACAATATCCGATTGATTTTCTCAGCATATCAATGTTGGATGTGGTATCGTAGTCGGATCCATTGGGATTGGCCATGGAAATTGTGCCTGATGTTTGTTTATAGATTCCGATGAGACAATTGAAGATAGTAGTTTTTCCTGAACCGTTGGGTCCGAGTAATGAAGTGATTTGATTTTCATAGAGATCAAATGAAACATCATTGACAGCGATTTTGTCAGGTCCAAATTTCTTCACGAGATGATCAACATGAACAACGGGTGTACCAATTGAATTACTTCGTGCCAATGATAGATTTTGTGTGGATAATGTTGCTGCACGATTATCATAAGAATAAATCTGATTTTTCATCGGTGGTCTACGCCAATATTCTCGTTTGAATAGAAAATTCCATTCTTGTGGAATACCATATTCACCTAAAATGTACAAAGAAAATATAGTATATGACAAATTGTCGAATGACTTTACCAGGAAAGACTTTTTCAAAATACCACGACAATGCCCAATAGAGCAATGAACTTACGATCATTACTACCAGTGTTGAAAAATACACCGGTACATGACGATAAATCGTTTGAAATATTGCTACATCTTTTCTAGCTAAATCATACAATACTGCTTGCTAAATAGAACACGATCCAATAAAAAATCTGAACAAAAAAACAAGTCTTAAATACATACCTGAAAGAGCGAGCGCATACCAAAGAATGGGCATAGTAATATCAGAAGATATTGTATTCCAGCGGGCCATGCTAATATCCAAGTATAAACGTAATTGGCAACAAAACAAAGCAGAAGTGTAAAGACGACAGCACGAATGTTTGAACTAAACATTTGTGAGTTCATAATACAAAAAGCAATTAATTGGAAACCGTAGATGAAAAAACCAAAGAAGAGTGTACCAAAATTGACTGTATTAAGATACGCTTCACCGTTAAATTTTGTTTTGCATGCAATGCATATGATCACAACAAAAACAACGAGGATAATCATGGTTCTAAAAGTAATAGTTAGTAGAGGTTTTTGTGAGAAATTTAGGCTTTACCGAATTGCTTGTGCGATGTTATTGAGAATAGGTTCGATCCCAAGAACCTTAAGGATTTCTTTTACCTTAGCATTTTTTTCCCGGATTAAACTGGTGAGAAGAATTAAATACCTAGATAGACTCGAATCATGAAATTAAACCTTCCTCAAATGATGATTTCACTTACGGGATAAGAAAAATTCCATCAAGTAAAGATAACATTGTGCCGAGAAAACTTGCCTCCGAAGCTATAGACCCAATTCGATAACTCAGCCATAAGTATAACAAGGCTTTATCTTACTATAGAGAAAATCCGTGCGAAATGGTGTGCATGTCATCAGATTACGTTCTAGCTCATATTGAATCGGCCGACTGGTTTGATACTCCATCAATAGCGAATCAACGAAAATCTTCACATCGGTAAAGTGCGGTAACTCAGATCCATGTTTACCTTCGAAATCCGTTGTATTTGATCGATCAGAAATGTAGCCTATACGATTCGAAAACGAGTTAATGTTACCGGACAAATAACAGGTGTTTGCATACCTGGATTTTTAAAGGCTAAAAATGATGTATCGATAGGCATGTTCTGTAAAATAGTATTTGGTGTTCGAACGATAATATTATCTAACCATAAGAAAGATGGTGATAAAAAGAAGATTTAAAGAAGTTCGTTTCTTTATATTTACAAGTAATTTTTCGATCTTTCTTCAAATCCGACGTTGCAGTCAAATCGATGATCACTGTATTTACTGTTGTGTTTTGTAACAGTAGATTGTCTTCAGTATCATCTCGACTTTTACTCCTTAAAATATGCAAAATAGTTAGAATCGCTCACACACTTGGTTAGATTCATTACCAAACTGTCGTTCGCTGTCCACAATCCATACTGGCAAGTCTCGTTCGAGCATGTTGGACGAATTCTTGAATATCGGACCTATCTGGTTCGAACACAATACTTGTCTCATTTGATATAACTGATATATGACCCGAATCCCAACTTCGACCTCCATAACCTGGTGGAAATTTAAAACAATTCAGAAAAAGATCCTTGGATGAAATCGGTGGCATTGTTAGATTTTGCGAACACGGATAACGATTTCTCGTTCCTGGCAAGCCTCCCTCGCTACTTGTTGTTGCATCATTTAATTTATTAACTCCGTAGCGCAGTAAGAACAATATGATGATAATAATCAGTGGAAATATAAGTTCGCATAGAATTGTTGGAAGACAATTGCAACATCGCTGACGATATGAATATCGAACTGAGCGTTTCAGTAATAGATTGAGTTTCTTTGTCGAACTAATCGGTTCGTATTCGGTTTTGATTAACGGTTGCTGCAGAGTGTCACTTTGTGCCATTCGACAATCTGCGCTCGCTTGATGATTCAGTTTGGCAAAAGAACTGTAATTGGTCTTATAAATTGTATCCTTTTATTTCTTGATTTCAACCACTATCAGTGAGTAATGTGTTCTTCTAGGTTGAAAAACAGAAAAGATTAGATAAAACGTGTAAAAGTATTGGATTTCTTGTATGATCTGTTTACCGACGCCCTCTTTACCTTTATTTTCATTTGATAATGTATTATTATCATTAGTCACCAACCAAACAGTTGTTTTTTATGTCTTGTCTTAAATACACAAACAGAGATAAAATTGTACGAATTCTATGTCACCAATTCCAAAGTCTTGGCACTGGAAGCAGCTAAAATTAACACTAATATGTGTCACATGCGCTTTATCAGGAGTGTTTTTCTTATTATTTAATTTTTATCTTGCGACTGTATTTGCTCTTGTTTGGTCAACATTCGTCATAAAGAATGCTTATTTTTGTCCAATTAATTTGAAGATACTCTACGCAAGGTAAGCAGCAAGTGTTTTTGTATGAATATTGGATTAAACGATATTTTGATCAGATTCTTCTTTGAATTTCTATTGGAAAAACCAGATCTTTTGTCTCAATTTCGACCATTGTATGTAAATTGTTCGAATGATTTCGAGATTGATATTTGATTTGGATTTACTTGTAGTGGTCTAGATTTATTCAATACACAACTACATGATTATTCAATATCATACAAAAGATATGAGAAAAAGAAATTTCACACGCACATTCGTTATTTACAATCGTTTCAAAATACTTCAATGTCTTCGATTGACAGACAATCTTATGATGTAATGGAGTATTTCATGAATTTAAATATCAAACAGGAACATAGTGAAAGATTTAGCTATCATCATTATTTAATCAATCAAATGATGGGTGCACAATCAGAAATTATCTCATTCATCACGAAATTTCATCGAATATTGAATGTTAATGATGCCGAAGCGTATCTCCTTCGAGTAGATCTTCTTTCATGACGAATATGTTGTCCATTCGTTTAGCTTTTTGCAGGTCCAACGAATATCGAAAGCATTTGACCAACTTATCGAGCAACAGATCGAACGACGCCGTCGAAATATTGAAACACCTCGATTTGTCCTTCAAAGAGTTATTACAGAACTCGAGACATTTCAACAGCAATTGAAAAACGAACCAAATCAAAGGTAAAAGAAAGAGCGTACGCGTCGAATATCTTTCCTTTCTTTAGCCCGTTAGTCACTGTTTTCATCGATAAACTCAATGACAAAATATGTTCGGTAAGACACTGAGTGTTCGTGAATTCCTTTCAGGACAAAAATTTCACTTCTAGAAAGAGAAACAAACCGAATTGCTCAATTGTTTACTGAAAATTCTGAAAACCTATGTCATTCCCGCTTATGATCGTTTGCTAAACGTTCTTCATGAAGATCTCTCCAATGCGAAGACTGATCATGGCGTTTGGAAATTACCCGATGGTGATGAATATTATAAGTTATGTTTACAATATCACACAACAACGAACATGACAGCCGAGGAAATTCATGAACTCGGAAAGAAACATGTGGAGAATACTCAGGACGAAATGAAAAAGTAAGAAAAATCGAATTTGTTTGCGAAGATCATGTGTTTTTGGATAGAATTTTGAAAGAAAAACAAATTCCAACTTGGCAAGATTTTCGAACAAGTATCAAACAACTGGAAGAAAATGTCGATCAGAAATATGAAAATATTGACGAAAGTCGAACGAAGATACTCGAAGATTACGGTCGACTTATTGAAAATATTGACAGTGAAATGCATAAATACTTCTCGCCTGCATGTCGACCCACGACAAAGTGTGTTATTGAACGTGTACCACAATTCAAAGAAGCAACATCACCATTAGCTTATTATTTTCCAGCTGCACTTGACGGAAAGACTCCCGGAACATTTTTTGCCAATCTCCGTAATATCGATGAAGTTGTCAAGTTTAAAATGGGTACATTAGCTTATCATGAAGCTGTGCCAGGTCATCATTTTCAAGTAAGATCGACGATGAGATTATCATTTCGTTGAAAGTTTTTCGTTTTAGTTAAGTATAGCACAGTCGTTAAAACATTTACCATTCTTTCGTCGGCTGATTCCGTTTACTGCGTATATTGAAGGATGGGCTTTGTATACCGAACAATTGGCAGCTGAACAAGGTTTTCATGAGTCATGGCATAGTTATCTTGGATATCTTGATCATAAACTCCTACGATCGTGTCGGTAAGATTCCTAAATAGAAGATTTTCTGTGAAACTTTCGATTTTTCCCTAAGTTTGGTCGTGGATACTGGTATTCATACGAAACAATGGTCTCGAGAAGAAGCAATTGAATATATGGTAATTAGATTGATTTCAAATAGATACTATTTCTATACTATGAATTTGACATCTAGGTTAAAAACACATGTTTGAATCGAGAAGAAGTAGTTACTGAAATCGAACGATATTTTGTCATGCCTGGTCAAGCTTGTGCATATATGATCGGTTGTCAAACGATTCTCTCATTACGTGATAAAGCGAGATCAGTATTGGGTGATAAATTTGATTTAAAAGATTTTCACGATGGTAAGAAGTACTTTATTGAAGAATCGCAATGTTGTCTCTTTTGATTTCTAGCGGTACTATTAAGTGGTTCATTGCCATTGAACATTTTAGAAACAATCGTCGATGATTATATTACAAAAAAGAAATCAAATCTGTGATAGACATTAGCTTAGCTCTTTCATACCAATTTTTAATAAAGATTTTAACTCAAAATATCCACTGAAATAGTCCAATCTTGATCGTGCTTGTCTGTGTTCAAAAACAAAATGTAGTCTACTTAAGTCTCTCAAAACTACTCGTTCGCTTTCGATTTGCTTTTAGAAATATTTTCAAGTGAAACTTCTTTTCTTCTTCATCCTCTTATGCTTTACATTCTTCTTCGTTCTTTTTTTTCTCTCTCTCTTAAAAAGTAAAGCAAACAATCAGCACCCAAGGAGAGATTGTTCTCTTCCATTTTACCTTACCCGCATATCTTGTGAAAAGTAACAGACATAATCATGGTTTCGGAAGGCAAGGAGCACGCTGTTCAACATTTATCGAAAGCAGAGTTAGCGTTCATTGCTGTTCTCTTCGATGTACAAGCAAGTCTAGCTGATGGCCATGAGAAAAAACAAAATGTTTATCAATTAACATTTGAAAATATCAAAACCGTTCGCGGACATTTGGATCGAACAGCGGATGGGACTGTGTTTCATTATCGACAAGCCCCAAAGGGTTTGAAATTCAAGATTGAAGATGAAACTGAGGAACAAGTTCAACAAGCTGCTGAAGATGATGAAGTCAAGGAACCTAAAGAAGGAAAAACCTATGTGGCTATTCTCACAGATGCTGAACATATTGAAATCTTGGTTGAAATCAATCCGCATGACATTTCTGAAATCGTTCAAAGTGCGCGGGATAAGGAAACAGCAACTATATAAATCGGTTTCTTTTACACATAAATGACTACTTTCACATGTGTAACTAAGCACTGTGCTAATCGATTTCCTTTTTGTTGTAGCGATTAATCTTTATTTTATTCTTGCACTTCGTTGTGACATTCGTGTAAATATATTAGAGAATGAAAATCAAATGGACAAATGCTTATCATGGAACGATTGATAAATATTGACTAGATTTCTAATGACATGCGAGATTATCTAGATTATATGCGTTTCATTACATCCCAAAACTTTTTTCAGAGTTTTCAACAACTATCTGTTATCAGTTGTGTCATCAAGGTTACCGAGTACTGCCATGGTTGACAATGATATAATATAGTTACTATTAACAATGTATAAGTTGAAAAGAGAGGACGCCACATACAAATAAGATTTATGCAGTTAAGGAGGTTATTGCCAACGTCATCTTCTCTAACAATGCTAATAGTTCGATTCTTGATCTGTATTTTTCGTCGTTCGAGAATAACTAACGAACAAGTTGTGCAATTATGAGTTAAAACAAATATGTTTGATTGTAGAGCGAAAATGATGATTTAATATTCTATAGTTGAGATTATAATGGAAAATATGTTGCATTCTCATTTGATAATTTAACAACTGTTTGAAATACAAAATAGAATTGATAGTGATTCATAGATTAAAAGTTTGAATTGTATTGAAACTCTATTCTCTCAATAAGTGAGCAAAGCTCAGAAGTAAATATCTGCTTAATTATTAATAAGTACTCGAATGAACAATCTTTCATGTGTATTGATGGTTTCATCGGTCATCGTTTGTTTTGAAAATCCTTTGTAGAACTTCTCTCGAAATAGCCATCTTGTCAGATGTCGCTTTTGTTGATTAAACTTGAATTTGAGGGTGATGCTATGACAACAAATGTTCCAAATGCCAGAATGATTTCGTGTATACTTGAATATTCTTTATTCTTTCACACTTACACATAATAAAGTAAGCAATGGCTGATGGTGGAATGTTACCGTCATCAACTCGACCAGCAAACTTTCGTTATGGAAATACTGATCAAAACCGTCTTCTAAATCGTCTAGTTTCCCATCCGTTAAAGTCGATTCAAGATGAAAAAAGTAGTTCCCCGCAACCACCCGGTGGTGATCATTATCGAGCTTTTTCAAATAAACAGATACCTGCCGAACATAAATTTGAACCTTTACCAGTACTTAAACGTTATCAGAAATACAATGATCCGAAAGAAATTCAAGCACGTAATCGACAGGAACTAATCGAAGCAAACAAATTACGGGTCTCATCACCTGATTCACCAGCTGAGAAACGTGCGAAACTCTCATTACCACCGGTTTGTTAATTTCATTGAGTTTTTTGCAATTTCAAAAGGAAATTTTTAGATTAATGGCCGAACTTCAGAAATGAGCAAAACCAGCGATGCGGCTTCTGACTGGGGATCAACTGCATCTGCTAAGCGTAAACAACTCGATGCGCGAGGTATTTCATCGACATAGTTTACTGTTTTCACTTCTTTGTGTTCATTATTTGCAGAGAAAATGCAGGGAGAGTCAAATATGGGTAAAGTAATCGATTACATAAGACAAGCACCTGATGGTTTCTTCCTGTATCTATCGCATTCATACTCACGAAACGATACACGGCATAGTTACTATAACTTGAAGTTCGTTGATTTTCGTTGCGCACTGCGGAAAGAATGAAAATTTTTGTACTTGTTTTTAGAGTTGTTAATTATGAACAATGCGGACGAGAATATTTCACAATTTCGAATGCCGGTGTTAGCTATTATCGTCCAGGAGAAGAAGTAGAGTTCACTCCATTGGAAAATTTTGCCAAAGAATACTATCGATATGTTCGACTAATCAAAGTAGATAATTCAACTTCTAAGTTTAACTGATGTTATAATGTATTTCTATATCTAGATCAAAACGTTTTCAACTTTCAGGTATGTTGACATGACTTGACGATGTTCATGAGTGATAGGAATTGTATCTGTGTTTTGAAGAATGTGGAAAGCATTTATGGTATGGTATAAAAACATTCGTGTCAAACAAGTCACGGGCTCATCGAAAGCTTTGAAAGAAAATCTATTCTTCTTACAAGATGTAATTATAGAATGTCATTCGAAGGAGAATCGTGGTGTTGATTCGTGTTTCTCATTTAGGCATTGCGACCTGCGTTATTGAACATTCGTGAAATGTGCTTTCGTATTAGTGATATGAGTCTTTGCAAAATCGAAAAGAAACATACGTATACATTACAAGAAGTTCGTACCAATGATTTTACTTATTGGAAATAATGTTTTCATTTCATAATTAATAGTTTATTAACAGTCAAACGGAAACATTGAATCAAGTTGCTGAACGTTTACAAGAATTTCGTGATCTTGTCAAAGATGTTGTCGCTAGTGCATGTCGAACACGTCTATTCGAAGCGGGATTTGTGCCGGACGATTTCCTTCATCCAACTGATATGACCAGCGGTACTAATTTCTTATTTACGTTCTCATGAGCAAGTCATTTGCTTTGCTTTTTCTTTCTAGATGGTCTTAATGGTGCTGCATTTACAATGCCCGATAGCATGGATATTGATACATTAGCACAGCCACCTGATAAGGCAACGTATGCAGAACAAGCAAATAAACGAGCACAATGTCGACGATTAACAAAGTAAGTGAAAGAGTTCCGAAATTGATCAAATCAATGCATATTCGTTTAGTTTCATTCGTTTATGTGATTATCTAATTGTCAATACATTTCACGTGCTTGCCAAGAATTCCGTACATTCATTGAAAAATCATTTTCTCGAACAGATTGAAGCGACGCCGAAGAAAGATGAAATTGTCGGCTATGTTGAAGAAATCAAACAAAAAGTTGATAAACAAATAGCAGTAGCAACTGAAGGTGAAGAAGATCCAAACGCTGAACACCAAGCACCTCCTCCTCCTCAAGCGCCACCACCACAACCTGGCCCACCTGTGCCCGGTGTTCGACAAACTGGAGAGGTAAAACTAGACTCTTGTTTATAGAAAGGTAAACCATTGATTGTACTCTTCCATCATAGGAGGATACCGTTGCTAAACGTCACATTCCATTATTTGTTACTGAAATGAAATTATTTATGGAAGCTATTCAATATGATCCAGATGGGATTGCTTTCCAGAATGGTCTGTTTTATTCTTTAGTTCGTTTTTTTGAAATTGAATTAATTCCTTTACTTCCAGGTATTAATAACGTCATTTCCAGTTTTCAAGAAACACTTCTCTCCATCAGAAATCTTTTACCGGACTCAACATTCGATAATTTTACTCGACCTTACATCAACGAGAAGTACGAAGAAAAAACATGTGGTACGAAATCTATCTCCTCGAATAGATTGATTCGATTTCTAATCAAATATTTTTATCTAAAAATAACTTAGGTGATGGACCTGATCTTCGTAGCATGTTCTTGGCCGATTTCCACTTTAAAGACTTGATTAAAGATTGCAACAGTTCATTAGAAGCTGGTTTCAATGCCGCAAAGATTTATTCAGACACATTCGCAGATTTCCATCAGTTCTACGTCGAAAACGAAAACACAAACATCGACGCATTGAAAACTGAACCTCACGGTACAACTTTAATATTTTATCTATAAAAATTATTCAACGGTTCGTTTTGTGACTTGTTAATAGATGTGGAATTCTTCGCTGAATCATTGGCTAAATATACGCGTCAAGAAAAGATCGCTCAAGCAATCGATACGAAAAAACCGTTAGGTCTTCTCATGATTGACGCAACGGATACCAAGACGAAATTAGAACCGTCACCACGAAGGTAAATCAATTCAATTGTTACTTTTCGTGTAACTGTTAGTGTTTCGTTTCATAGAATATTGGATACCATCAATGAAATCTTACCGAAAATTGCTAAAACTAAAACCGATGCAGTCAAATCTGAAGCTCAAGATGCCACAGTTAAACTGGAAACAAAACCTGAGACTACACTTGATTTTGTTGATGCTCTAACATTTCTTGATGAAATTCAAGAACGTATTGAACCACTCGAACAAGAAGCAGAAGTTGTTCGTCAAATGTACGAACTCATCGATCAATATACAGTTCCATGTCCACCCGAAGATATCGTCTCATACAGTTCATTAGCCACAACACTAAACAGCTGTCGTAATGCGATTGATAAAGCATTGACAGAACGTGATGCTAATGTTGTCAAATTCGTTAGTTTATTGGATAAAGATATTGAAATCTTAACGCAAGAAGTTCGACAGATCAAACAAGATTCTCAAAATCCGATGATGCTCGATCCGACAGCTGATAAAGATAAAGTGAAATTAATCTTAGATGATTATTTGAAAAAGATGGATCATCAACAAAAAACATCGGCAAAATATCGTTTATATCAAAAGAATTTCAAGGTCGAAGTGACGAAATTCGATGAGCTCGAAGAAGTCTACGGTGAATTAAAACTCAAAGAATTACTTTGGAATTCATTGAACGAATGGGATGCTATGCTAGATGAGTACAAAGTTGGTGATTTTAATAAATTGGATCATGAACAATTAACAGGAACCGTTAATAAATATGGCAAATATGTTTATCAATTGGAACGTGGTTTACCACCCAATCAACTAGTGCCAATCTTGAAAGATAAAGTCGAATCACTTCGAGCGAAAGTAAATATGAAAATTTTTGAAACAACAGATTGAAGTTGAATTCGATTTAGTTGCCAACCGTGACAAATCTTCGTAATCCGAATTTACGTCGCCGTCATTGGGATGTAATCGAAGATCTGATCAAATTTCGTAAGTTTAACAAACAGAACTCCTGCAGATTGAAGTCGTATTTTCCTTTGTAGACCCAACAGCAGAAGAACCATTGACATTGGGCAAACTCATCGACATCAATGCTTTTCAACACGAAGAAAGACTTCAAGAAATCTCTGGTCAAGCTAGTTCCGAAGCTAGTCTTGAGGGCATTCTTAAACGAGTAATTTTCTTCGT